TCGGATTTCCAGTTCCCAGTCTGTAATGGAGGAAGATGGTTAGATATTATTTCCCGACAGGGGACCACGGGAACGGAGAGGATATCTCGAGTTCGACGGGGAGGATGTCGCCTTACTAGTCTTGTTAAGCCCACCCGCACTTGCGGGAACCTGGCTGGGCAATTTGAATTGCTTAGCTAGATGGCTTTCTTCGAGCTCTGTGAGAACTTTCTCATTGGGATCTCGCTGGTGATCATTAGCTCTCGGTTTCCGGGGTGAAGGGTTTCGTCATCGTTTGCGACTACACACCTCTGGGATTCCCTTTATGCGCCGACGGTCCCTCGGAGGTAATTTCATTACTTCCGTCTTCAATCTTTGTTCCGCAGCATCTCCGGAGACGGGCTTTGAGACCGTTGATGGTTTATCATTGGCCGATACCCAGTTTGCGACGCCATGATCGGGGAGGTCGCGCGTGAGGTTTCCGATGAGCGCGCATACGAAATTGTTATGTAGATGTTCGTTTTTAGGATCGGCGCACAAGAAGTAGTCGACTCGTGATGCGTATTCGCTCTGGTTGTAATGTCCTATAATCAGGCAAGAGGTCAGGAGGTGATCGAACCGGAGGCTAGTATTTAGAAGGGAAGGGGGAAACAGTCTCCGCGGAGCTCAAGCAATTGCTTTCTGACTAGAGATTCCATGCGCATCACGACATACCTAGTAAGAACAGAGCGGTGGCCTCTTTGTACTCGGCCCACTTGTCTCCGATGGCGGTCTTCAGGTCCGTGTAGGCATGCTCCAGCTCCAGTCTCGGCACTGATATTAGAGCTCTTGAGGTCTTCGCGGATACTGAGCCGTTGGGCACGACGCCCTTTGGATTTGAGACAGAGTCGCTCCGACTCAGAGCTGCCGGGTCAATCTGCATGGTTGCTGGACTCGCGAGAGCGCGACGGGCGACGCCGAAGGGCAGGGAATATTGGCACCTACGCCTTCATCAAGGAGGATTCTAGGGTTCAAACTAGAAATAAAGGAAGAGAGGATACTTTCATAAGAGAGACTGATGGACCGAAGATGAAAATTGATGGAGTGAAAGAGATGGCGATGGGTTTGGGTGGAAGGGGAGGTTCCGACTTACGGTTCCCCGCCAGAAGCCAGAAACGGATACATCGATGTGCGCCGAACTTATGCCCTTTTTATGTTTACATATATATCACTTCACTCTACACTGGTAATTTTAGGAGTTTTTCAAATTGATTCGCTAGATTTTCAAGCTAGCTGCACTACGTCTTCACTTAATACTCCAAAGAGTTGTCCGATCTCCGCAATGATCTCCGTAATCTCATTCGATAATTGGCCCGTTACCAAAACTAGAAGTACAAGGGTTAGTACATCGTACAGGAAGAATATAACTAGAAACCAAAGAGATACTCACTATAGGCATAGAGCAAAGCACAGTCCTCATCTGTGGTATGTTGAGATGCTTGACGATCCAGGCGATACCGATAGATGCGAGCGAGCAATCGGTCTCTGGCATGGTCAATGCTAGGAAGCACATCGCTCAAAGGGTACTCGAGTTTCATTGACGAAGCAATCACTGGAAGATAGTCAGCATGGCATTAGGTGCGTGGTTGCAAGAGAACTGACCCGTTAATAGATGGCTCACGCGAGCAGATAGTTGGTGCCGTTCCAATTTTGTGTATTGAAGAAGGCTAATTTCACCTTCAGTGGCCATATCATTCTTCATCAGCTCGATGTTCATGGTATGGAAAGAGTTCACCATGCTGCGTGTACGGCGAACAATCCTGGCATACGAGGCTTCAGGGAATGCACTCTTCAATTCAAATTCAGAGCCTGCCGCAGCCTGAAGAGACTCCAACCGAGACAAAAATCTTTCTATCTCAAGCTTCTCTCGGGGTGTCATATATAAAATAGACCTTGTATCTTTGGCCATAATGGATAGGGGGTCGCGCTTCCAGATAAGGCTCAGATGCAGCCAGAGAAGACTCAGACTATCCTTGAGCCTACTTCTTGCGCTGACGGGCCAAATCAATCGAGTGATGATGACTCCCCAAATGCATCCAGACAGCACAGCAACAACTCGATGGAGTGCAATTTCAGTCATGATTGGATTAGAACCGCCTTCGTCTTCGTCGAAATTTGCGGCCTTCTGAGAAAGGGAATAGCCATATAGAACGGAGAGGTTGTAAGTGAGCATGATGAACCGGCCCATGGGCCCATTCCCACGAACAATAGTGATATATCCAGTCCAAACGGCCATGACCCACCCCAAGAATGCAAGACCATATACATTTCCAGCGGTGATGTTCCATGCCACGATAGCAGCGACAGCCCCCAAGCAAGTACCGAGAAACCGGGCATACCCCGTCGTGTTCGAGGCCCCGATTGTCATTGAGCAAACCAGCATGTAGGACAGCAGTCCCCATTCTCCCCGCCAACGCCCATATAACGGGCGAGTTGACGGAAGAAAAGCAGGCAGGGCGTAGATTGCAGCTCCTGCCCCAACCTTGATCGCGTATTTCGTATCATCTCGCCTGAAGAACCCCAGACATTTCCATAAACGGTAACCGAGTCTTTGCTTTGTTGTTTCCTTTGCTGAAGGGGCTTTTTGTATCTGAACATTGACAGGCAGTCTATCATGTGCAATCAAGCCATCTGACGCATGTCTAGCGTGACTATGGAAGTCCTGCTCGGTAGCGGGTGGATTGAAATGTCTGGAAGCTGGTTCTATGGGGCATTAACATGATATCCACGATGTTAAGGATTTCTATGTGGATATATACGTACCAGCATCAAATGAGACCATTCTAGCTGTCTCTGTAGTCCTTGACCACTGCCAGACTTTGAGCCATGACCAGGTTCGCCCATTAGGCCGCTCTTCGACTTCCAACTGCAGCTCATCTAAGATAGAAAGCATCTCTTTGAGCTGCTCTCCAAATTCGAGGAGGGAAAAGCTGAAATGGCTACAACTGGCTGAGACTTCCTCAAGATCGGCTTCAGCCTCGTGGGTCTTCAATTTCATCGTTTCCTTTTGTTGATACAAAGATGCGAGTGTCTTCTCGCGCGATTCTTTGTAAAGATCAAGCGCTCGGTCAAGGCTGATTCGCAGTCGACCATTCACGGAGACTCTGTAGTTCGGTGCAGGCCCAAATGGAATCTCTTTGAAGATTTCTTTCAATGTAAAGGCCAACGATCGCTACTTCTAGTCAGTCTTAAATTGTACCAAATACTTGTTGAGTTCCGACTTACCATTGACGGACCCAAATGAGAGATGAAGATAGTGAAGACATCTGCTGGAAGAAGTGCAGGTCTAGGTGTTGATTCACCACTTCCAAGTTGGTGAGAACGTATAGAACCGCCCGGAGATAGTTCCTCCTCTGGTCTCTCAACGATAGGCTCCAGAAAGGACCCATCGGGGAATGACCAGGATCGCTCGAGGGGCGTGAAATAGTCCACATGAGTCGAGCTACCCTGTTGATCACCTGGAGAGGTAGACTCACGGGCAATAGTCTCACGAATCAAACTGAACTGAAGAGCAGCTGCATTACGTAAACCTCCCATGTTATGGGTGATATCTTGAACCCATCGGACGAGGTTTTTTTCGAGCCTGTACTCTTTTTCGGTGCCTACCACATAGTGCTCAAGTTTAGCTTCTCGGACGAGCCTGTCGAGCTGGCTGTAGGCCTTGCGGTGCCTTGCCTCTGCATCAACAAATTCATCCGAGACAAGCACCTCCTCAGTCCCGCTCAAGAAGCTTTCCGTGATAAGCGCCATCATGAGAGCCAATGTATCAGTGACCGTGACGAGGTTCGAGCGCAGTTTTTTACGGGCTGATATGGGGAAGACGAAAAACGATACAATCATGACGGCCATCACGCCCATCACGACCATCTTCAAGACTTGGAAGATCTTGGAAAGAGACAAGTCGCCGCTTTGCACAGCACCCTCCTTGGTTAAGACGGTGATTGTTGCCAGAGAAGTGAGTGAACAGGCAACATTCACCAGAGGATCTCCCAGCCGTTGCTTGGTCCAGCCCACAAAGCCAAGCCCACCACCACAAAATACTATCAAAACCACTGCGTGGCCAAGGACAGGTAATTCCAATGTGTCCTGGAAAAACATCTCCACGAACATGCTGGTAATAGTCAAGAAGGAAGAATAGCAGAACGCCAGGAACGCGCAGATCAAGGCTTTGAACATCCCACCCTGAGACCTTGCAGGGTGAAAGTAGACTGTGACCGTAGCCACCATGTGTTTTCCATCCTGATGGCCTAGCAAGGCTGAGACTGCAGGGATAAAAGTTGCAAGAGATCCGACCAAATAGGCAAGACTGTACTTCAGGACTCCAATGCCCGGTTCTGACCGAATGAACTGATTTGACTGCATCCATTTATCATGTATACGGCGCGTGAGCACATCAAAGTACCCCTCGTAGTGTTGTATCTCGTTTGTGAGGAGGCCGCGTCTTTCATCGTTCTCGTCGTCGGAAATGGGCGTGGAGTTTCGGAGGTTCACGAGGCCTTTCAGGCGCTGGCCTGTTTTCGGGAGAACAAATGTAGCATTGCGGAGCTTCACGGATGATTAGTATATCTCAAGCTAGAGAATGCGAGTACATACCGTTGGGCGCGAACGACGGGAGCTGCTGGGATTTCCAGACGGCATCTTTTCAGGTTTCACGTACTTCACGTGGACTCAGGGCATTGTACAAGCCCCATTGCACAGATTTGATTACTCGCCCTTGCTCCAGGCTTCCAATATTCATACGTCAGAAGGTTGTGCGGAGGCGCAGAGAGCTATGCAGGTTAATTTGTTGGCGGCTACGATTGGAAGGGAATTACGGCCACTTCCGACTTTCCATTGCCACGCACCTCTTTGTTTTGCTTTTTGCTTTGTCTACAACTTGACTTGATATCAATAGATGTGATGATGTTGAATATATCAGGTTAACAAAGCAAAACTCGATCTTTATAATTTCGTAGCAAAATACAATCACAGCTACTTCACAATTATTTCAAGCCTTCCACTTTCCACACCTTCACCGCCGCATCAGCACCAGCTGAGATGATCTTAGAGCCTCCTGCAACCCATCCGACACCATGGACGCCCTCCTTGTGGGCATTCTGCAGCTCAAGCCAGTCACCTGGTTTGGCTAAGCTCCAAACAAAGATGTTTGTGTCCAGCGATCCACTCACAACGTGTGAGCCAGCCTCGTTCCAGGCAAGGGATGTGATTCGTGCAGTATGCGCCGTCCAGCGGTCTGTCACCAAACTGCCATCGGCAACTTTGAAAACCAGAACACGTCCCCGTAAGTCACCCACGGCCAAGTGGGAGGCGTCTGGGGAGAAGGAAAGAGCAGAGATTGGATTGCGAGAGGCATTGATATCTGCCCGGGGAGAGAGCCGAGAGCTGGAGATGGCACAGATTTGAACAGATCCATTCTCACCCCCAATGGCTGCCTGAGAACCATGCGCGGCGACAGTGGTCGCCACAAAGTCTGTTTTATATTCTCCGGTCTTCTTGCCATCCTGGAAAATTTCGACGGTTTCGGCTTCGCCAACAAGCACGGTCGAGTCACCAGCAGCAACGCCCTTCGGCTGTCCATTGAGCTTTGAAGCACTGCCAGTATATGTTTTAGCAGCGACATCGACAGAACGGAGGGTGTCGTCCCAGCCGACACTGTAAATTCTACCGCTTCCCTCTGATATAGTTGCAAGCCCGGCGACGTAGCCGGGGTGAGCATCTCCTTCAATCTCCTCAGCCTTACCTGAAGTTACATCCCAATTGCAGACTCTTCCGTCAAAGCTTCCTGTCCACAAAGTTTCCTTGTTATCCACAGTTGTCTGTGTCAAGGAGGTGATGCTCTTCTGGTGGCCCGAGACAACCTGCCGGGGCTCGGGAGTTCCCTCGACCAGGTAGTTCAAGTCTCCGCTCAGAGACAAACTGATGAGCAGGTTATCACTTCTTCCTGGGGGCCAGACTACGCCGACTTGGTGGTCGCGAACAGCCATAGCGCCCTCTTCTCCCAAAGTCCAGGTCTGTGTTGCTTTGCCAGCTTCCACATCCCAGATCTTGACAGTCCGGTCCGCGCTTGCAGTCACGAACTTTCGCGAGTCCTTGGCCCAGGACACACCAAAGATACTGCCATTGTGCTCTCCTTCGCCGATTTGACCCTTGGTCTCACCAGTCTTGCCGTCGTAGAGCCAGATCTTCCGGTCCGCGCCAACACTGACTAAGTGCGAACCATCCGGGCTGAAGCCAACTCCGTAGATGTAGTTTGAGTGCTTGTCGGCAATTCCGTTGTTGAATTTGAACGGCGCTCCGTGGTAGAAGACCGTCTTCCTGTCGTCACCAGCAGTGGCGGCACGCAGGGGTCGCTGTTGCCTAATTGACACGGTGTTGAGCTGCTGCGTATGGCCGTGAATCTCGCCAACGGTATTCCCACTGTCCCAGGTGATACAGTGTCCATATCGCTGCTTGCCATCGCCGACAGCAATAATGCGCTGGGAGTCGCCGTCCCAGGCCAGATCGTTGATTCGACCATTAACAATGCTATATTCACCCTTGGTGATTCCTTCGCCGACACAGTCCCATACTCTCACGATTCCTGCAGCGTCACCACTTGCAACGTAGAAGCCGGAGGGGGCGAAGCGTGCGACAGTTGTCTGCGCCTTGTGTTCGGTGTACTGCCTAGCGACTGCGGGGTCGTCGATTGAACGCAAGAAGATGGATTTGTTAGACTATAATTGCTTGTGTCAGAACGGGACAATGCTATTGTAGAGGTCCTCGGAGTGACATACTGCATAGGCCAATCGCTCGCCTTTAGCGTCGGAAGAAAGCTGGGTGGGCTGGCCGCGGGTGGTGGAGGGGCTAGGAGCCCAAATGGACTCTTTGGATATGTCAGGATAATAAAAGATAATATGAGGCTGTCGGGTTCTCACCATTCGTAAGTGACATTGCTAAAATGTGCGCACTCAAGCTGAGGACTTGGGGAAAAGCAGAGGGAAGTCCACCCTAGTCGACTGTTTATCGACTGACGTACCCGGGCCACAATAATAGCGGGGAACACAGCCACGTCTTGTCTACATAAAACAAGCATCGACTACAGAAAAGAGGAATATGAGTGTCAATACATAGAACAGATATCTGATGGTTTTAGGAATTCTAGCACAAAGGAAGTTGAAAGTCACAACTCTCAATAAAATCAATGCATAGCGCTAAGAGTAATAATACACTAAGTCGTGCCCCTTCCACCAGGCACCGGCCTGTACTTGTACAAGGAAATTTCCCCAAATCTGTTTTAAGATCCCAAAAACCAATGACTCCAAAGTAGTATGGTCGGCTTAGAAACCTCCAGGGCCCTCCATACGTTGCCGCATCTCAGCTGCGAGAATTTCGGGGTGTCGGTGGACGCTAGGCATTAGACCCATACCGATGGCTCTCCGGAGAGCCTTAGCAATTTTGCGCTGGTTGACAGGTCGAAGACCGGTGATGGCTCGGGGCTTGATACGGCCCATGCTGGTCATATATTCGGACATGACGGAGAAGTTCTGTTATGACAGAAGAGCCAACAATCAGTGGCTGTTCATCATGGTATATTCTCCATTGGCTCGAGGAATTCATACCTTGTACATATCCATAGGATTCAGGTTCAATGCATCGAAAGCATCCCTCGAAGGGTTTTGGCGCTTTCCCCATTTCTTCATCTCGGCAGGGCTAAGATCGTGAGGGGCGTAGATGTCTCCAGCCTTGAAGTCACGGGTTTGATATCTTTCAAGGGCTCGGCTCTCGCCTTGCGCCTTCTGGTCCTCGAGGAACTTCAGGCGATTTGGTAAACGGCGTCGTTGGACCACTTGGGAGGCTATCGCAACACGTTAGTCGCCAATCAAACTCAAGCCAACGTGTGGTCATATCATAGAATGACACAACAAATAAATATTCTCAGTGTATCGGGTCCATCACATACTCTGTGAGCTTGTGCCGCGCTGGGAAGTGAAGGCGCTCATGGCAGCGGTCGAGCTCCAGCGACAGAGCGACAGGCCAACATTGGCTGTGGTCGCGGCATTGCGCAGCAATGACGAGGAGGAAAAGAGGTTCAAAGACATCTTGACCTTTCAATCCCTGATTAGTTGTAGATGTTGAAGACGGTGATAGGGAGACCGGGCAACGCGGAGATGAGATCTTTTTTTGCCAAGACTTCTTCCGCCTCCAGATCTCTCCGCGTCGCGAACCCCCATTTTTCATGATTCCATGCAGATTGCCAGTCAACTTGGGACTACACGTTTTTATCCAATACCTCTTGCTTGATCTGAGCTTGTAAGGCTCAGCCCACATCATTCATAATGCAGTCCCATCTCACGAGACGGGTCTTCCGGGCAATTATCAATAATGAGCCGCTTCGGTTCTCCCAATGCTATCGAAACCGCCTATTGCACACAATCACCCCTGCCCGTTTACGACCTACCATGTCCAGCATCCCTTATATATCTCGGCGCAACCTATTTGTGTTCAGCTCAGACCCCGACCGGTCACAATCGACTTTGCCTTCTGAAAAAGGCCTGAAACCAATGGCTGATTTGATGAGGGCACTTAAAGATAGGAGCAGAGCTCCTCCGAGTGATATTCTCGCAAAGGCATTCCAAATGTTTTTCACAATGCGGCTTGAAACACCAATGCTCATCAGTCATTTCCAAGCGCGTGCGCTGATAGTCACCTTCAAACACCTAAGGGCTCAGCAGGGCGAGATGGAAGAAGAAGACTGGCAGAATGTTTTCTCGATTGAGAACCTCGAAAAAGTGTTGGATGTGCTCTCAGAGTCTGGGTGTGCCCCTCAGGCTCGTGAGGTTGTCATAAACCTTGCCCGATATGCATATCAAGAATTGAACCTCGACCACGGATTTGGTACAGGGAAGATCAGCCGGCCGGCCCTTGCTCTTTATATCAATATCTTGGCTATGAATGGCAATCCTGAGGATGCTAGACATACCTTATTGAAGTTTTGGGGTCAAATGAGCAAGGCTGTCCCATCGCCCTGGCTCACAATTATGAAAGGATTTGCCATGAAGGACGATCTACGACAGGTGCGGAAGATTGTTGATGAGTGGGGGAACCGTGGCAACAAGTTTGACCAAGCCTCGCATGGAGAGCTAGTTAGATTCCTCGTCGACCACGGCCAGTGGAAAGCGGCCCAAACTGTCTACGACTCTCCAATTGCCGATGGCTCAGAACCGTCCATGGCTGCGAGAGAAGCTCTCATTCAATATTATCTCCTGAATTCCCGCGCAGAGTTGGCGGAGGAGATCTTCAAGTCTCTCCCCGATGAGCCCAATGAAGACACCGCTGGCATCATTTTGCTCTGGGAAGCAGCAAAGGGCAGCAATGCTTCCGCTCTTGCGCAAAAGGTCGATGCATGGACTGCGAAGAACCCTCAGCTCAAGGACTCCATCAACATTGATATTGTTAATAGCCTTATTCAGTATGCAAACGCCATGCAGAATCCGCAGTTGACATCTGATTTCATGGCGCTCGCAGGCCAGTGGGGTCTCATCCCAGATAGCCAAACTCATATCTTACAATTGGAGTCCCGCATCCAGGCTGGCGATGTCGATGAGACTCTGAAGCTTCTCGGAGAGAAGGTTGATACGGCTTCCCTTACCAGTCACAACCTGCCAATCGCAAACAAGCTCGTCGCGATGCTCTGTCGATCCGAGGAAAAGGACGCATTATTCGATCAAATTTCTTCCCTGCTAGACCCGCTTTTCCAAGAGAACGTGCGGCTAGAATCTACGACCATTGCCGCATTGACACATATGCTCCTCTACCGCCACGACCTCGAGGCTGTTTCAGAGTTGCTACGTCCACGACTAGGCGGCTACAGCGACGAACAGAAGATGCCGGTGCGCGACACGCTCGCAGAGTACATTATGGACAAAGGCCAGTCCGATACAGATGTGTGGAATGTATACGAGCTTCTGAAGATCGCATTCCCGGAAACGTGGGTCTCAGTCCGCACTAAAATCATGACCTCCTTCTTCAACCGAAAGCGCAGTGATCTTGCCGTCTTGGTATTTGGACATATGCGTCAAGCCGACGAAGCCGGTCGACGCCCTAGGCCAGACACTTATGCGCGCTGTTTCCAGGGCCTGGCTCGCACGGCAGATGCAACCAATCTGGAGCTTGTGCACAACATGTTGAAGCTAGATCTTGAAGTGGATCTCAACACGAGAATCCTCAATGGTTTGATGATGGCGTATGCCGCTTGCGAGATGCCAGAAAAGAGCATGGAAATTTTCCGACAGATTCTTCAGTCGGAGGAAGGCCCTTGCCACAAGACTATCACGATTTTCTTCAAGGTCTGCAAAAAACATCACAATGGTGCCCAGGAGGCTATAAAGATGATGGGTAAGGTCAAGAAGCTGGAGATCACTGCGAACCGCCCGCTCTACTCGGCGTATATGGAGGCCTTGGCGGCGCAGTGCGAGTTTGATCTGGCCATTGAGGCTATCAACAATATGGAAGCTGAGATTGGGATCCCCCCTACAAGCAATACGTGAGTACGCTTTTTCCTATTTTGTGTTATGATTGCTAATATAGGCCCTAGTATCGGGTTGTTCTACAATGCTATCCCGTACCAATACTGGAAAGATGAGGTCGAAAAATGGGCAAGTGAGAAGTATCCTGAGCATTGGGAGCATCTGATGACGATCAAACGCACCGATCAAGAGGATGGGCTGGAATTTGATGGCATCTCAAATGAAGTGTCAGTGTAATAATTTTTGTATCTAAGTAGCAAGCCAATTCATCATAGTTCCCATTACGGGGGCGAGAAATCCCTCCTGTTCGACAATCTCCCTCTGTAGTTTCTGCAGGCAATAGGGGATGCTCGCCGCATATATAGGCGTATGTTGCTTCCATATCACGGTTGATGGAGACACTACTCTTAGTTCTGAATACATGAAATATTGCCTCCTGCGCGACTGCTCCGTGGCTTTTCAGCCGAGATTAATATCGGGACTGCCCATTTACCCTATTTGCGTGATGGCACTGATCGCCTCGGAGCTCCAGCCACGATCAGCTAGGATCAGCAAATGGTTTACTTCTTGTAGCTTGTAGAAATACTCCATAGCGCGGCCCCCTGGAAATGATTTACATTGAAAATATTTTTTGTGTTCTTGCTTCTTCCCCTCGATAACAATTCACCTTGTGATTCTGCCCCAAGTCTAGATAGGGGCCTATTTATATACTTCATCGGAGTGCAGCCCTGCAGGAGTCCCTCGAATAGAGCATTTAGTCATGGCAGAGCCTTTGGCACGCACGCCTATCGACTGGTCTCGTTCAAACACAAATATCGACTTGGAAGACATATCTACCCAAGCGCAAACTGTCCGTGATGGTAAAAGACAGTTCTTTCAAAGGCAAAAATTAGCTAGAGGAATAACAGGGAGTGCTAGAGTTATCGTGAGATCTTCCCCTCAAACATATTCCGAATGATAATAACAAAAATGCGAAGTTTCGACGCGATTCCAATGATGAGATATTTGAGACGATCTCTGGCGATGATTCTCTGAAGAAAAACTACCAGAAAATCGCCCGACGATCCAACCTCGGCCTGGCTGGACAAATTTTCATGTATCAAGCGACAGATGCGGACGGGCTTATATTTGAAAAATATGATACTTGGTCCGCGTGCTTCGAGCGGTTACGATCTTCTACAGAGAAAGCTGAGAATGCATTGGAGATCTGCCTCATTACCTCCGACACCACGAATCTTGGCCGTGTGTTTTCCTTTATTCACAGAGTCTTTCTTCTCGATCATGACCGTCTTCAACAAGCTTATTCCGTGCCGAGTCAAATGGTCATCCGAATTCTCCAACGCCAATGGAGATTACGCGATGAAACAATGACTGAAATCACGGAAAGCGTATGTGCAAAGGACCTTTCTCTCCCGGCATGGCAACCAAAGCTGCCATCTCATCGTATAGTACCTGGCCCATATAATAGCTGATGCCTGCACTAACAAGCCATAATAGGCAACAAAGCAGAAATAGAAGGCTATCTTCAGGTGCCATTGAAGTTTGCGTTTAGATGGATTGATGCTCCGTACTACACAACGGACCTTTCAGTTTACGTGTTTCGGCCATATGGAAAACCTCCCCAAGTGAAGACTTTGGATATTATTTTAACCTCGATGGAATACGAGCAGATTCAGCGGGCGATTGTAGTTGTGAACTCTCACAACACATTGGCCGAGTTACGACGCGACTTTCTTCCCCAAGTGTTTCAGCAAGATGTTGCCGGCCTTCCGTATGTCATGCGGCTGGTCCGAGTTGTGTGTGCTAAGATCACCGATGAGCTCGTCAATTTTCTGACAAAAGCATGCGACGACATCAATTATATGGTGAGCGCTGCCATCCGCGATAACAAACCCTGTGCTTAGACTAAATTTCTCAGGCCTATGAAGGACGGCTTCGTCCCTCTGGAAGCAAGATGCAATATCTTCGGCACCTGGAAGACTGCCACCGTGCTGCCAAGGATTGCTGTCAAAAAAACCGATGTACCCTTCAGGTGTTGCTCAACGAAGTTAACTTCATTGTAGGGCCACGCACTGATGACGAGGTCAGCCTGATCAATGAGCTTAAAATGGCGACGAACGATCTAGACTACCTTCATGATGAAGTTGAGTCGTCTTTGCAAAGAATACTAGGTGTATGTCGAGACATTCGCGAGCAATTGGATTTTCTCCAAATACGTCGGACAAGCATCTTGGGAATTCTCGCTGGACTATACTTGCCACTTGCGTTTGTGTCTGTGAGTTTTTGACGCAACTCCCTTATATTTATCCCTCTAATTCATTCAATTCCAGAGCTTTCTAGGAATGAATATCAACCAATACACGCAACTGCAACCATCTTGGCACAATGCCACCCATATTGATCCAACCAATCCGGAAAACAGGACCATCTCCCATTCCGAGATTGTGGACTCCGGAGCCAATCAATCATGGTCATTGGAAAACTTCTTCGAGATTGCGGTGCCGCTTATGGTCGGCACAATACTTGTACCCCTTGTTATTGGAAGCATCATTCGAATGTTCCTGCAAGCGCTTGGGCGTGGAAGGACTTGGTGGCGTCTTTTGTTTCCTTTTCTTGTTGTCGGGTCAGTTCACATAACTTTGAAGAGTTCGAGTGCCCATATCGCTAACGGATACTGCTGCAGTTATTCCATCTTTGCAGCCATATATGTACAAACCATTATTGGCCTGCCGATGCTTATACCCTTCTATTTGTTAACTCTGCTCAATGTGTTCTCTGTGCTCAATTTGATCTTGTCTTCCCGAGGCAAGAAAGAATACTGGATTCGTCTCGCCTATTGGTTCACAAGCACGGGCTTTTTGTTAATTATTTCACTTTTTGTGAACAATTATACTGCTTCAGGGTGCCTGGGGGCAGCGTACAGCATTTCTCTTTTTGTTGTCTGGTGGCTGAGGCCGGACTTTTATTACAGATGGGACCAAGGAAGAAGACCAAGAGCGAAGGAAATTTGATAAGCCAGCATCCAGCGACTGCTTCCCTGGTATTTACAGCTTTCACATTCAGTGACACTCGATACATGGGCTCAATCCAGAAAATAAGTCCCAATATCGGGAGCCTCGGCCTTCTAGTACATCGGTCAGGGGAATGATTCGAGCGCCTGCCCTCAAGATTGCAGATTTAGTCTCAGGTGAAGAAATCCAGAATTTCTCTTATATATCAAGGATGCTCCCCACATGGCTACACGAAAATTGCCTGGATCAAGCACATATGGACCGAAGTTACTGTAAACCCAGTGAACACTACGTTATTGATATTGAAACACAAAAACAGACGAGAATTCAGCACCAAAAACTATAGTACAGTCAGACTGAGTATAGACAGGACTTGAAAAGAAAGCAGGAAAGACAACTAAAAAACCGAAAAAATGCTCCCGATGGTTCTCTTCCGTCACCACAGCTCCCTCCAATAATTTGAATGTGCCTGTCCTGACTATCAACTATCCCTCAGTAAACCGGGAAAACACATCCGCAGTCGCAGTGATATATTCTCTCTCAATAGTAGCCCGTATAATCTCGTTGCGTACTACAGGTCGACAAGGGTAGTCTTTGGCACAGTATAGGAACCCGTTATGGTATCCATTCACCGGATCACTATCCATCGGTCCCTCTCCTGGCTGGAAGTCAAACGCCCACAGCAACTTGGCAATGGCCAGGAACATGTTGCGCTCGGCCAGGTGGATGCCAGGACAGATCCGTCGGCCAACCCCGTAGCCGTAGTGATCACGACGCTCCCATGTCCCTGGCACATAGTCAGGAGCCAAATGAGGATGTTGGGCAAAGCGCTCGGGGATAAAGGCAGCTGGGTCATGGGGTTGGGATGGATCCATATGCATTCCCCAGGTGTTGATCATGACTATCGTGCCTTTGGGGAGGAATTTACCGTCCACCCAGTCGTCTGTAAAGACCAATAGCACAGAGGTTAGAAGACGATTATAAATTGGAAAGAAAATAGATGACCTTACCTTCTCCTAGTGCATGGGGAAAGCAAAGTGGAAGTATTGGCCTCCACCGGTGACCTTCCTTGACAATCATGTTGATATAAGGGAGTCGCTCAAAGTCCGTCCAGACGGGGGATCGATTGTGGCCAACCACAGCATCAATCTCAGCATGTGCTTTTCGCTGGATCTCGGGGTTTTGGATCAACGCTTGCACAATAGCCAGGGTGAGACTGGAGCTAGTGTCCGAGCCGCCTTCCATCAGAACACCGCCGATAAAGGCCAGCTGGTGCCAGGGGAGATTATGTTTCTCTTGGCTATCCAGGACCTTGTCCATAAAGGTGCCCTTGTTGTGACCATCCTCCCGCCGCTGGATTACCTTCTTCAGTATGTCAACGTAGAGGGTCTCCATCTGCACGCCAATGGCCTTAGCCCGGGTGACGTAGTTGTTAAATAGCCACTGTGGCAGGAGTTTCAACCAGGGGAACAGGTCTACTGGTGGTGTTGCGCCAGTTTCCATCACTTCTGACCATTCCTCCATGAGTTTGTACAGTCGTCGCATGTTGGATCCCTCTCGGTTGGCCGTCCGGATTCCGAATACTATAATATGGTTTTAGGGTTTTCTTTAGCAGCGAACATATGGGATCCTTACCGATCGAGTTGGTAATACTGTTACTGTATCGCTTGGGATGGGCCATATGGTGCTCTGGGTCGATCATATAGTCTCGCACCAGCTGTATGGCTTCAGCGTTGACGATCTGGGTGTGGTGGGTTTCCACCATGGACTCCATCAGGTGTTGGTGAACCAGTCGCCGGAAGGTGCGCCACTGGTCGCCATAATGCATGACCAGGAGATGATTACCCTTGGTGATGAGGTCGTGCGACACATAGGAATGAGGTCGATGGCTGTAGATGCCACTCTTGCGATCAAGGACTTCTTTCACTAGTCGGCGATCGGTGATGACGGCCATATTGCCATTCCCGATCTTGAGCATGTACAACCCGCCATACTGCGCGGCCCATTCGGTGAACCTGAACCCCGCAAGACATTGAAGGTGAGCATTTTTTCTGTTTGCTCCAAAGGGATCAAAGGGAAAGGGGGAAGCAAACGTACTTGATATGGGTGTACTTCTTAGTGATCTGGTGGATGTTTCCAATGAATGGTAGGGTAGGTGGACCTACACCAGATGAGTGATCCACTCTCTTTCAATTTTGAAGACAAATACTCACCTGGGGGCATAGTACTGACCCGATGGCCGTAGGTGAAGGCATATCGCACGAGCACGATGGCTGGAAACAAGATCAGGAGTAGCAGCAATATGGATTCCATGGTTAATAGAATCGAGGCTGAATCGTGGATATCTACATCGAGGTGATACCTAGGTAGTGGGGTATGCTGACTTATAGATCGACAAAGCGAGGGGTTGATGCTCATGTGCTTCATGGGATTGGTTGTGATCGTCTAAGGGAATTCAGTTACCCAAAGGAGTGTTTCCCCCGGCTAAGATTCCCCATGGAGAAACACTCTCTTGTAGAGTTGGAATATACCATGATCAGTCATGGGTAAGAGAAAGGGTATGATACCCCAAAGAGGGCTTCTAATGATTCCCAGCTGAATTCATTGAGTTAACCTCTTGACATGAGCGAATATACCCAAAAGTCCGTATCATCTATTTGGATAATGGATTTCATGCTCATTTGTTGGCGAACATTTATGTCTGATACAGAAAGGAAGAATGCCTACGTCATCCAGGAGAAACGACAACTTGGATGATCTGGATGGTATAGGTAGAACATGACCAAAGCTGTTGAGAGATAGAAATTATGCGTGCCTTAAGTGAGATTCACTTGATTGGATGATGCATTGCAAGCCAACTCTTTTTATTATCATTTCCATATTGTGCTACGTAAATGAATGTTAGATTATTGGCATCATTGCTTCACCATTCTTGACTCCAATATTATTCCAATGCTTCTTATGTACAGCTAACATCAATCCTGCCGCATCTCAGAGCCTCGCCTTATCCGGGATACCCTTCAGTCGCGGAAACAACTCCAATGCTGCCCCGCTATCCACTTGTCGCCTGGTCTCGTCCGGAAGCTCATACGCCTCTAGAAAGTTCGTGAAGCGTTGGATGGCACCATGCGGTGCATTTGGGAAGTCACTGCCAAAGAGCACATGGCCGGGTGCAGCGAACTCGAACAGCGCCTTTAACGTGACCGGGTTTGATGAGATAGCCGTGTCAAAGTAGAAGGTCCGGGCAGCCTCTACCAGCTCTTCAGTTGACAGACCGAGCGTGCGTGGCATCAAGGGCAGCATAGTAGCTGCCCGATGGATGAGATACGGCAATGTCCCGCCCGCGTGGGAGAGGATGATCTTGCATCCCGGATAGTCTCGTAAAATGCCACTAGTTAGCAAATCCATGGCGGCCCGGCCAGTCTCATGCGGATAGTCAAACATGGGCTGCGGTAGCCAGGTATTGACGAGCTGCGTATCAACTGGATGCGTCGGGTGGATGAAGACCACGGCACCGCGGCGACTGAGATCGGCCCAGATGGGTCGAAAGGCTGCATGCCCTAGGTAATAGGGCCCCTTGCCATAGCGGGTAAATAGAGTGACTCCATCGGCATGGAGAGTGGTGCAGGCGTAGTCGATTTCCTTCAAGACGGCCCCTGTATCGAACAGGGACGGCACCGAGGCGAAAAAGCCATATTGGTGCGGCTGAGCATCCCGAATGGCGGCGGCAGATTCATTGCAGCTGCGCGCCAGGGCAGCAGCTTTAGCAGCATCAGGCTCGATTCCTGGCCCCGGTGCAGTGACAGAGAGAATGGTGGTGGTCACCTTCATCTGCCGTGCCATGTCCTGGTCTAGATTCAGCGTCCAGGGGGAGTGTACCAGCCCGAGGGATCACCTCCCGCGCGGTCCAAGGCTATTTCAAGTTAACCAATCAGGCTCTTACTCCAACACGCATGGGACCGACCTTGACGCATGGCCGGGGGGTAGAAATGATGGTGCACATCGATCTTTGCCATGATGGTCATTGGGAGCACTCGCAGTAATGATCGTTAGGCGAACCAGCACTTGGTGATGGGCTTTTCTCTTTCAAATACAGATCTATGGCAATCATGTGCTCTGTTTCAGACTGACCCTCAAGTCTTTCTGCTTGCATATATTGATCATCCTTCATCCTGGTTGCATACAGGTGCAGGACCTCTGAGCGCATATCAGCGACGCTGGTTGAGACCTGCAGGGGTTAACGGAACGCTCCTAGAAGATGAGAGAGAGGAGGACTACTGCGGTACGCATGATGTCTACGGAGTCTGGTTACGGAATCTGGACATGTGCGCTTGTCAAATTGTAGAATTCATTTATACGCGCTTATACTTCTCACACCAACCCCTTTTCGGATGCTTCCGAAAGAGGAAATACCCCGAAACTCCTTCGGGTGATCTCTCCCCTGTAACCTTGCGTCCTTCTACACTGCTCTCAATTAGGCCTTGGTGGTGCCTCCCTGCGGATTGGAATAAAACACTTTGGTACTATTCTCCGACCCAAAGGATGAAGCAGTGGTAAAGGTGTCTTCCATCCACTGAAATTCGAAGATCTGGTTGGCTGCATTCACCCGCGCCCGAGCAGCCCAGGGCGAAATAACCGTCTTTCCCAGCGTGCGCGACGTGGCCGTGAATGAGCCCCAGGCTGTCACATTTTCGCCATCACCAAAGATATGGTCTGTGGTAAACGGGCCCCGGTCCCAATACAGGCCTACTCGGGTAAAGATGTCGATGAAGGCCTGCGGACCCACGTTCGCGTGCGTGCCCGCCCAGGGCATGATACCGTGGAGGGTGGGATTGTCGAACGTCAGCGAGATGTAGGTGCAGTCATAGGTAACCAGCTCCTTCAAGAGATCATAGTCGGGATCCGGCTGAGTGTTGAGAACCTTCGAGAACACCGACAAGGGCGTGCGTTCCCAGTCACTAGGGCCAAGTGGCGGGGGGCTCGAGGGGTAACCTCCGGGGAAATCATCCCGAGCGGCAGCCGGACGGAGGCCAATCAGAGACACAGCGAGGCTGATCCACAGAGATAGTTTCATTTTGGAGAGATGAAAAGTTAAGAGAGACTGGTTGGAATTGGGATTGCAAGTTCTGGCAAACCGGTGCCAGGTTCGATGTACTTATGGCCTTCCACCGCGAGCAGCACGAATCCTTCGACATAACCATCACTCGGGACGAAGTGGGCCGGTCAGATTCATCCTGCTCGAACGTTGTCAAGTATGACTCCGAAACTCCCATTGTCTCCTTTGGGTAACTTCATCGGCCACGGAGACACAATACGGTCCATTGCAACGATTCCCCACCATGATCACCCTCGGCCGAGGACAATTCTAAGGGTTGGACCGCGTAAAATGCGCTGATAAGCCGTGGATTTGGCTGTTCGAGAAACCAGACGTTTTCAGACTCCATTCTGAAGGAAATTTGCTTCTGTGACGGCAATTGGGCACCCGACCATGAGATTGATATCGCGGATCCTCTACACGGCTATCGCAGCTGTTGTGGTCGGCGCTGTAGCTCCGGAGGGGCCATCAAGCTCACCAACCCGTCGCAATGGGCACGCGCGGCGAATGTTGGGGTCCTCTTTTGGCATCCCCATGAACCAAACGTTTGACTATCTGGTCATTGGCGGGGGCACGGCCGGCTTGACCATCGCAACGCGGCTGGCCGAACAGGGTGCTGGCTCGGTAGCCGTTATTGAAGCAGGAGGCTTCTATGAGCTGAATAATGGCAATCTCAGCCAAATCCCTGCCCAAGATGCCTTCTTTGCGGGCACGGATCTCGACGATTGGCACCCCGGCATCGACTGGGGCTTTCACACCACGCCTCAAGCGGTAACCCGTTTCCCCCCGAGCATTGAAGATAAAATACTGATGGATTTGATCTAGGGCGCCTACGACCGGGTGAGTCACTACGCACGGGGAAAGTGCCTGGGGGGCAGCTCGGCGCGCAATTACATGGCGTACCAACGTGGTACAAAGGCGGCGCACCAGCAGTGGGCAGACATTGTGGGAGATCCCAGCTATGCCTGGGAGCAGTTCCTGCCTTTCTTTGAAAAGAGCCTTAATTACACCCCCGCAAACGACGCGCTACGTGGGGCCAATGCCAGTGTCGTGAGCGACCCAACCGTGCTGGGCACCGGCGATGGTCCTTTATCCGTAACCTATCCTCACTACGCCCAGGCCTTTGCAACATGGGCGAAACATGCCTTCGTGGAGATCGGTCTCCAGGTACGCAGCGGGTTTCAGAGTGGAGCTCTGTTGGGCCAGTCCTACGGTCTGTACACAATCAATGCCACGACAATGCATCGCGACTCGTCAGAGACATCCTTCCTGCGCCAGGGCCTCGCCGATCCGAACCTCACGGTCTTTCAGTCTGCCCTGGCGAAACGCATCCGTTTCCATGGAAATCGGGCTGTCGGGGTCGACGTAGAGACCATGGGCCATCCGTACACGCTCTCCGCACGCAAGGAGATTGTGCTCTCTGCAGGGGCCTTCCAATCCCCCCAGTTGCTCATGGTTTCCGGTGTGGGCCCCGCGGCCACGCTACAGGCACATGGTATTCCCGTCGTGGCGGACCGACCAGGTGTGGGCCAAAACATGCAGGACCATATCATCTACGCTCCCTCCTATCGGGTGAATGTCATTACACAGTCAGCCCTGCTCAATCCGGCGTTCGAGGCACAGGCCAACCGAGACTACAATGAACGAGCCGCGGGGATCTACACCAATCCCACGTCAGATATCCTGGCGTGGGAAAAGATCCCCGAACCCAAGCGGTCGGCCTGGCTCTCGAATCATACCCTCCAGGTGCTCGCCGAATACCCAGATGACTGGCCAGAGGTAGAGTTCCTGTCCATGGGGGGATACTTCGGGTATCAGAGGAACTATGTTCGGGACAATCCCAGTGACGGCTACAATTACGCCTCGGTTGCGGTCTCGCTTTGTACGCCACGTTCGCGGGGAAATATCACGATCGCGTCGCCCGACGCCGCGGTGCCACCGGTGATAAACCCCAACTGGCTCACCGACTCGGTGGATGTTGAACTCGCGGTAGCAGCCTTCAAGCGGACCCGCGACTTCTTTAATACCACTGCCATCCAGCCCATTCTCATCGGGCCTGAATACTTCCCGGGCTCTCAGGTCGCCACAGACAAGGAAATTCTGGATCATGTCCGGAAGAGCTTCGACACCATTTTCCACGCTTCCTGTACGTGTGCGATGGGCCGGGAAAATGAGCCCCAGGCAGTGGTCGATTCCAAAGCCCGAGTCATCGGCGTTGACGCCCTGCGCGTGGTGGATGCCTCGGCCTTGCCGTTCCTACCACCAGGCCACCCTCAGTCCACAATTTGTAAGTCTTACCCTTTCCTTATATATGTTTCTTCAATCATAATGCCTAACCTAAACTAGATGCACTGGCAGAGAAGATTGCGTGCGACATGTCGGGCAACTGTTAAAGAGCAGGCAATGTACGGTCCAAATACGAGGGAAGATGAAGAATATTACGTGGAATATAGCACAAAGTAGGAGTAAATACTCAATCTATCGCACCTTTCACACTCTGGCTTACGTAGATACTATCAACATGACAAGTATAATAGTGTATAATAGCAATCATCCCTCATATGTCTCTCAGGTCCTTATTGCATGGTGATGACAGCACGGAATCGTACACTTCCCTCCATCATAGCCGCTGTAGAAAGTAGAGCATCGCGTTAGAGAGAACAAGTCAAGTAAGGAAAGAGATTTCATACCGAATGCTTCGTTGCATTGTTCCAAGGGGAACTCCTCTATCAGACAATCGATGCCATGCAAGTCCGCAAATGCGATGGCGTCCTCGGAATCAGTGGCATGACCGCTGGGCCAGCTCCAGATTGATTTACCCTTTCCGACCTATAATGAGATCAGTATCTTCATCCTTCTAATCCTGCGATCACCTCTGGTGTTTTCGTTTCTGTCTGGCTTTCGGAGAGCCAAGTTCCACTCACCAACAGGCCAGTATGCACCTCAATACCACCAACAACTATTCTTGTCAGCAGGGAACACAATGTCCTAAAACCACCACAAGCAAGCTTACTGGACAGAATCAACAACTTCCCCATCACACCGAGGCCCTGAATCAGCGGGTTAATGATCTCCGGCACAGGCGCCGTAGACACGATCAGAGAAGCACCGCCCAGCTTCTGCAATGCAGCTACGGGATCCTCTTTACTCGTGTCAATGTACTCATGTGCTCCCAACTTCCGGGCAAATTCCTCCTTTTGGGAGTCCCGTGAGAGTGCCACGACGCGGTAGCCAAACTTGTTCGCATACTGGAGCGCCAGATGGCCGAGGCCGCCCAGACCCTGAATAGCAACCACTTCACCCGGTGGGATGTTCATGTGACGCATCGAGTTGAATACGCTGACGCCGGCGCATAGCATGGGCGCGTACTGGGCGGCGTTGACATGGTCGGGAATGTGCACGGCGGCTTCGCGACGGATGATGCAATATTCGGCATCTACCCGGGTGGGAGGGAAGAGTTAGCATTGAGAGATATACCGTTAGGTGAAATTATGAGACGGTAATCATGTGAGAAGAAAGAGAATTAAAGATAAGGGAAGGACATACAGCCGCCATTTCGGGAGATGCCGTTGACTACTCCATTATCGCACATCTGGAAGTAGCCCTTTTTGCATGCCACGCAGGTACCTGTATAGAGCATCAGTATTTATTCTCCTCAAGGAAACAAACTCTTTTGAGGGGAGAGCGTACCATCGTGTCCGCCATGCCATGCACCCCCAATCCGATCTCCTTCCTTCCAAAGGGTCTCGCCCTCTCCAACGGCGGCGACGCGTCCGATGATCTCATGGCCGGGAACGAGGGGACTATAGAAGCACCGGGAATCAGCAAGAATGCCACATATCCCATAATAGAACGGCTCACAATCCTCCTCCCATAAGATTCGTCTGCGCAAAGTGGTCCGAATGACACACGCCGCAGGCTTCGACTTTCACCAGAATCTCATCGCGTTTTGGCAAGGTCAACTCGACCTCTTCCAGGATCAGACTGGCGCCTTGTTCCTTGAAGACGGCCTGCTTGTAGGTGCTGGGAATAGAGGATGCCATGGTGCGTATTGTGCTGGATAATAGATAGCTGTGCGAAATAAGACTTTGTTTCTACAATGTCAGACGGGAGGACACGGGGAGAGAAGGACTAGATATATAATAATTTAGGCTCTCTCTATACTAGTACTAGGTGGGATACGGAGTCGGAGTTCCGGAGACTACTATTTTGGTACATTGGTATAAATGTATGACAATCCCCTCGGCTGGATATGGCTTCATATACCGTACATGAAATGCGGAAACCTTTCAGTGCTTATGTATATTCTATTCTATCTCCTAAAGATATGTATTTTGATTCCACCAGCTAGGTATATTACGATTTATAAACAAAAGGAGCGAAGAGCACACCCGGAGGCTTACCTCGTGCTCGAAAAGAACAAGAAAAAGAAAAGAACCCCGACCAAATGCCATTTCTGCCCCTCCCCGAAATGAGTTTAGAAACGACGGCGAGGCAGCAAACAGGATGCAACTACGTAGAGCGCACCCGCCGAAACCGCCATCACGTAGACATCACTAATCGAACTCACGATCACCTTTAGGGCTTGCTCCTTCAAGGCCGGGGGCAACCGCTCCATCAGGGTACTTTGGGCACCGGCAACGGCGCCTTGGATGTCCGCATGGGAATATCCCTTGTTCCCCAACAAGGCAGTGAGCCCGTTGAGGGTCTTGGTCTGGAAGATGGCACTTGCGATGGCCAATCCTAGCAACTGACTCTGGCCCTGGCCAATGTTCATGAACTGGAGGCACTCAGCCACCCGGTCGGGGGTCACGATGGTCGGTCCCACCGCGTAGGCGGCCTGTGTGGTTGTCATGCCCAATCCCATCAAAATGGAGTACCCGTAAACGTTGGCGGCACTGGTATCCAATTTCACGGTGTACATCAACACGGATCCAATGAGCATAAAGATGCCGCTCACCAGGTACCAGAGGATAAAGAAGCCGGTCTTGGGCATGACATATCCGCACAGCAAAATGGTAGCCACGTAGAAGCAGACGAACGGCAACAACCGCACCGCCGACATGATGCCAGAATCACCGTGGACGAACTGGAAGTAGAGTGGGATGTAATAAACTGCCACGAAGAGGGAGGCACCGCCACATGCCATTATGACATAGAGGAGAATCATTGTGGGATCCCGCAAGAACTCGCCAGGGAACAATCGGTTTTCTTTGTTGGTCCCCACACAATAGTACTGGCTCAGCACGAAGGCGATGGTGCAGACAGCGGAGACCACGTACAGAGCGATATTCCGCCCATCTGTCCAGGACCATTCGACACCGCCAAATACGATGAACAGGATAATGGAGATATGCATGCCCGCAGACAGAACCGTGCCTACCCAATCTAGCTCCACAAGCTTCTTGATGAAACTGCGGCCTTCGCCTGCTGGGCGTGGCAAGGAGGGCAGGAGGAATACATAGATGGGTGACATGACTCCAAAAATGACCAAATTGAGATAAAATGACTGTCCACTACGTTAGCATCTGCGATCCAAATGATGAATGGATCCCACATACCCATCGCCATGTGGCCGAACTATCGGAAAAGGCGCCGCCAATGATGGGACCCAGAATACAGCCAGTGCCGTAGATCAATCCAACCAAACCCACATACACGGGCTGCTCCGTGGGGGTTGTCAGGATGGTAATCAGATTCAGATTTCTAGATCGTCCCAGTCAGTCACTCCTCTCTCTGTTTCTGCCTATCGATACAACTTACCCCAGATACATGCCCGCTCCACCGGCTCCAGCCCACACACGCCCGACAATGATGGCATTCATACTGGGGGCCGCGCCGCAGAGTGCACTGCCGGCCGCAAACATGGTCAAACAGCCGAGGAAGAGCCATTTCGTATCGAAGATGGCGTAAGCTTTGCCCAGGGGGAGAATAAAGACCACCGATCCCAAGGTGAAGCCCACCCCGAGCCATCCTAGCCGCGTATACTCGTCGAAGTCTCCTGCAATGGGACCCTGGATGTCTGCCACAATGGTATTGTCCAAGCCATAGAGCAGATTGGCAGAGAAAACGGCAACGCAGACGAGCAGCCAGCGGAGGCCTGTGATATCCCGGCGCGGGACTGCATCTTTCTCGGCATCCCCGGCTTTGATCGGGATCGATTCGTCCACACGATCTGGGGTTTGACTTTCGAGCACGCTCTCACTTGGCGAATTATCGGCTATACTCATGGTGGGAAGCGAACCGAGCGGTGTTAGTCAGCGGTTTGGGAGATCAGCTAGGTATCTAGGTACCTGCCCAATGGAGTCGTAATAAAGTGAAAATGGAAGGCAGAAAGATGGATATCCACTGAAGGTTGGCGAAAGTATTGATGTCCATGTTTCCCGACCGTGGCTGGTTATTTAAATGTGAGCAGTGCTGGAAGAGGATATTTTGGTGACAATGCATTACTCCTTTGGGACATTCATCTTTGTCAGTTTGATATCTGACCAACCACAGTTTACCGTTTGACTGACCAACTCCGAATCTCCTTTTGGACTCGGAGCGGGAGCTCCCGAGCTCACCTAATCCATCTCTAAAGGTAATCAAGTGGGTCCACCTGCATCCATGGATCCACTCTACAATTTCTAATCGTTTCCAAGATTTCCATGGTTCTAACCATGGAATGTGATTAGCTATAATCCATAAACACAACCTTAGATTAAATTACTTTGTAAACGGAATTTATATCGAACCCCTTTCAGCCAACTCTCCCTGTTACTCTCTCCCTGTTACTATGTCATTCTACTTAGAGAAATGTGTGTTGGATAGTAACATCGACATAGTATGCTGCATATATATAACTGTACCAGACTAAAAAAAATATCAAATATTGCAATACCAGAAGCATTTTAAAGGGTTCATTGTCCGTAATTCATTCCCAATGCAAATCATCGATTGGGCCTGTCTGCTATTGGTCGCATCGGGGACTGCTGTAGCAACCGAGTTGCCGATTGTGGACCTGGGCTATCAGCGGCACCAAGCAATTGGCTTCAACGTGAGTTTCGTACTCGTGAGAAAATGAAAGGCTTAGAAATCGATCTGATCGTCAGGTCAATGATATACCTAGTCAACCGGTCAATATTACCAATTCTCCAATATCCGCTATGCCGAACCCCCGCTGGGCCCTTTGCGGTTCGCGTTGCCCGCCCCCCCACGCAGTCGCAGCCACGAGGTTGTCAATGGCAAAGGACTCGGTAATATATGTCCCCAGTCTCAAGCCTGTTGGTTTAATGTGCAGGGCGAATTTGTCAGTGCTGTGACCGCGGGCTCTGATTTTAATTTCACCGCCGCGTATGACCAGGTCTATCGACAGGATGGCTGCACCAAACCGCGTCCTGTCGCAGACCAGAATCCACTGGAGTCGGAAGATTGTCTGTTCCTCGATGTGTACGTCCCGGAAAAGATAATATCCAAACGACAGGGTGGAAAGGGAAAACCGAAGCGGGGTGCGCCCGTGTTGGTGTACTTCCAGGATGGAGCCTATGTGTCCGGCTCTAAGTCAGATCAGAATCCCTCGGGTTTGATTGCAATCAGCAGGGAAAATGGGTCCCCGGGCATAATCTATGTGGGAGTCAATTATCGAGTACGTGGTCTCCCCCTCTTTGTGCACATTCGTCTCCTTTTCTTTCGGCAGCTTACCTGGGAATGGTGTGGATCAGCTGGGCGCATTTGGATGGCTGTCAGGCGAGAAGTTCCGGTCGGGAGGAGGAGTACCAAACGCTGGACTGTATGATGAGCGTCTGGCGCTGGAGTGGGTGCAGCGGCATATCACGAAGTTCGGCGGTGATCCCTCGCGCGTCACTGTCATGGGGGTCTCGGCCGGTGGAGGTTCGATCACGATGCAACTTACAGCCTACGGACGCGCCATTCGCCCCCCGTTTGCCCAGATCATTGCCCAGAGCCCGGCTTGGGAGCCCGGCACAAAGACTCCGGCCATCGAGGACGACCTGTTGGATACGTTCCTGACGTTGTTGAATGTCAGCAGCTTGGAGGAGGCCCGGCGTCTGCCGTCCCAGGCCCTGCTAGATGCTAACTATGAGCTGGTGGCATCCCGTCCGTATGCGTCCGGCGTATTAGGACCTGTGAGTACCACATAGAGCTATTTGCTGTCGTTCTCCGTTCTCTGTTTATTTGAATGCTGACTAGATAATCTTCTCTTCATCGCGATAGGCTATTGATGGAGATTTTGTGCCCGATAGTCCCAAGCGACTCCTGCTCGAGCGCAAGGTCGATCCATCTGTGCGAATCCTTACCTCGTATACCGCCAACGAAGGCTTCATGTTGGCCCCGGCCAATGTAACCAATGACGCCACCTTTGATCGTTACGTGGATGTGTTGCTCCGCAGTGCCAATGCCAGCGTACGCGCTCACGTCACCCAGGTGCTTTATCCACCAATATTCAATGGCAGCTGGCCATATCACAGTCAGCACGAACGGGCGAATCTGTTCTGGTCCGAGCTCTCCACTACCTGCAACACTCGGTATTTACACCGAGCCGTTGCAACGCCAGGGTATGCGATTGAGTACGCCGTGGCACCCGCGATGCATCTCTCGGATACCACGTCTGTCTTCTACAATGGACAGGGCTCCGACTCATCGCTGAATGCTACCATCGCACAACTTATGCAGCGGCAGATCGTGCAGTTTGTCAAAACGGGGAATCCAAATTCCAAAGGAGACCCAAATGTTCCTCTCTATCACGGAAAGGCCCATCTACTTTCTCTGGGAGATGACGGGGTGTACATCAAGCCGGACTCGACCAATACAGACCGGTGTGCTTATTGGCAGCAGGTCGATTTTTGATGACCTCAGCAGGTGAACGGAACGGTTTTTTCGATACTATTATGTTGGAGCACGTTTCAGCTTGAAATAATGATGATTTGTACTTTTATCATACAATAGTGTCAAGCACAGAACAATGAACATCCATACATAGTTATCCTAGCGAGGAATCCTGGCTACTCTCACTAGGTTAGTGTCGAGAATTGCAGTTGATTCCATTCATTACGATGAAGCTAGGGTTTGAGCCCTAATGCCAGTTGGTTCTTCTGTATAGAGCAGTCCCTTTCACAGGCCGAATTAGTCACTTCTACTACAATGAGATCGAGTCATCTGGCTCTTCACCTTTATGTAGAGCATAATGGGTTGTGAACAGAGGTACAAGGGAGGCTCATATGTATAGACGAATGTTTAATGAAGAGATCAGACGTTTTCCAAGATGAAGTGCAAGATTTCTGGATTCAGAACTATGGAACACAGAGGGAATTATATATGACAATCTGGATGCAAAACACAGGTAAATCCAGGGGGCAATGGACCATGGCGGTCAACAGAGATTCCTCAGGTATTCATTGGTAGCCCGCATATCCAGGCTAGTTGGAAATGTGATGCAATGTGATATTGGATATAGGCGCTGTAATGTATCGCGCATACATAACGGGATCCTGCATCTCAACATACACCAGTTGAATACTGCTCGTAGTATCCCAATTAATACAGTACGTAGACTTTATATCTGTAAATATCAACAGATCATCATAGCGATATAATTCACAACTAGATAGCTTTCATTGAATCACAAAATCACTCTCGTATATTGTACGGAATCAGAACCGACATCCCAAAGCTTGCTCGCTCGTTTCTCCAAGCTCCCCAGGTCTTTCGAGATAAAATCCCCCCTCTTCCACAACATCTTAACCACGATGCTTCATCATCTCTTCTGCCGCCGCAGTCGTGCATACAGGGGACTTGTATCACCCAGCGGAAATGAGAAGAAGAGCGCATCCTGACACATCAGGTGGCCAACCGTGTACCAGGCGAACAACCCCGAGACAAAGCCGAATGCACCCGCGGCCTTCTTCAGAGCGACTCCAGTAGATGCATGGTCATCTGCGAACGAGAAGTAAGAGGCAGCCAACACGGTGTATGTGATTTGAGAGGTTCCGAGCATGGCCGTGTACACAAAGTTCCTGTCTGCTGGTCAGCTGCGATTACGCTTGCAGACGGGATATCTGTATATATAGATGTGTATCAACTGACATGGGCATTGCAGCGATGGTAAAGAAGAGAACGAATACTCCCCATACTATATCGTCATATTAGCCGAAATCCCTGCTGGAAAAAGAGAAAATAAGAGAGGAGACTACGTGAAGAAATGACCCACCGAGTAAGAAATATCCAATCGCATTATCCAACGCAGCGGGATCATCTTTAAATGCATCTGCTACCCCAAAGGCCGGGGCATTGATCGCCCCAAAGGCTAAGTTAAACAAACCTGGAGGGGAGGTAGATGAATCAGATCACGGTCATGATGCACGACATATAGCAGGACGAAGGAACTCTATGCTCACCGAACCCTCCAAAGACTGTATGGCCAAAGGAATTCCCGCGCACGAGCTCCCACTGAGCCACCAACACTAGCCCCAAGCCCGCTGTAAAAAAGCAGTTACCAATATAGGCATTGGTAATGGCTGCGCCTCGCCACTCCATGAGACTCATCGATAGAGTTGTAAAGGCAATTGCGAATGCCCCCATGCCCAGAGCGGTCTGATAGCAAGTCACGGAGAGTTAGATCATGTTGCAAATTTGAGTATGAAGATGGGACACTTTACTGGGCTGCCAATCTGCGGGTTGGGCTGGTAGTCATGCTCCTTACTGTTTCTGGGATGAGAGGACGAGGCATCATAGTTTAGCTGGGCTCCCTCCTCGGAGGCAGACATGATTGTTCCTTCAGCTGACATTTTCATCTTGCTCCGAATTGGATCGCCAAAGAAGGATAAAGGTTGATCAGAGAAAAGACCACACGGTAAAAGAAAAGAGGGGCTTCTGATCGGTCAGAATCAAGTTCTCAGCATCTCTACTTGCCTGAAGAGATAGTGGTCTAAATACATATAAATCATCCCGCGATCTGGTGGGCCAGGACCAATAAGGCCTTGGTAGCCAAGGCTCCTTAGTATGAGATGTTGTGGCTTACTCCATGGAGAAGTCGGGGTTGAGATTCCCGAACTAGATTGGCCAAGGAAGCCCATCATGGTAGTGAGACCTCACCTCCCCATGCCGGTATAGTTCCATTTCCCCATTTAGCTCTGTGCGGAGAAAGAACCGTCTCTGGGAAGATTATTGTCAAGTCGAAGCTGTGGTGGACGGCATACCATATCTATTGGTAGTAACGTAGAGCAGAGCTCATTGCAATCAAGAAAGGGAAACTAGAATTTGAAGAGAAACAGTTCATTCGAATTAGATTTCTCTATTGATCTATGCTTTTCTACTTTTCTACCATCTAACAAGAAAGTCTTCCCCGAAACAAAGTCTCCTCCTATAGCCTAAAGCCACCGCACACTAAAATCCACCTTCCATCATTGACGGCGTGTTTTTGTGAGATAAGTCATCACTAGCACCATGGTGAAGTTGAATGCGATAAACCCAATGAAAATGCCAATGTTGCGATGCCGATGAGCAAACTCATAGCCATATTGTTGGTACTAGTCAATGATTAGTTTCCAGTCTAGATGTTTGCTTTGCCTTGCTCTCCCCCGAGCAGAACTACTTACGTATGATTGTCCGTCGCGATACCGGCAATATTGACACTCTGTCGTGCTTGTTGGGTTAAGCAGATATCCCGTGGCGCTTTTCAAGAAATCCTCGGCATACTGGCCACAGGTAGTACCATTTGTCGCATAGAAGATTGAAACCTCCGACTCATCGCATCGGATGGGCAAATCCTGCAACACATCCACGGTGACCCCCTCGCCCAGGTAGAAGAGGGGAGATATATTGTAAAACCAGCGCCAACCAGAGGGGGTCACCGGCTTCGGCGAAAGCGTCCCCGCGAACGTGTTGCAGAACATGAAGAAAAATCCATTGGCGGCAAAGGCTGCCTCAATGTTGGGCATCAGCGATGCGCAAAGCTGAGCCAGACTGGTGGCAAAGACCCCAAAGAGCTCGTACATGAGGAAACTGTACCCTGCGCGCGAGGGGGCATAAAAATAGCCAACTGGGAAGTACCACAATAGCCAATAGACCAGCGAACTGAGAAATGTGAAGGGCAATTCCACAATAAACGCAGATAAGACAAACGCCATCCAATGGTAGGTCAAGCTCTCCCTTTCCCGGTGGACGAAAATATCTCGTAGGGTCACGAAACGAGGTTGCACCTGCAGCCCTAGCGGGGGCCCCACGATGAGTGACATGAAGGCAGAGAAGACCCGATTGTATGCCCCGCGCTCTGTGTTTGGGGACTGCAGGTATGTGAGGGAGTTGAGAAGGGAGTTGCCGACGCTCATCCAGAGCTTCGATGTAACGTAGTCTGGTTCTCTCCAGTAATAGAGCCACGTTCGCTGGACCACCACCCACAGCTGCACATAGAACGGTACCGAATACAAAGACTGTTGCTCTAGCGGCGGTGCTTGCTCTGCAGCGGGAACCAGGCTTTGCTCTGCCTTCTCTCGCTCCTTGCCCTGCTGGCTGTCATGCCAGAGACTAGCCCAATCCATATGGGCGTCGTTGCGAGACCCAGCCCCAATAACCGCCAGGAAATACTCTGCTGGGTTCTCCTCCGGACCGCAGGGGCGACTACGTGGCTGAAAGTACTGGACTGCCTCGTAGCAGCGTGTTCCCAGAGGACCGTCATAGACTAAGTTTCCTCCACGGCTCAGTAGGTACAACTTGTCAAACTGGTCGATGAGCTCGGCTGCCGGTTGATGTATCGTGCACAGAATGGCTTGACCCGAGTCCGCTAGACGACGAAGTAATCGAGCAATCAACATGGCGGATTGTCCATCGAGACCCGAGGTCGGTTCATCCAGGAAGAGGATCTCTGGTTTGGATGCCATCTCCACGCCAATACTGACTTTCTTCCGCTGTTCGAGGTTGAGCCCGGCCCCCGGGACACCAACCAGGGCATCCGCAATATGCTCCATATTTAACCACTCGATTACTTTCTCGACGTATTCATTTTTGTCTGCCACGGGGATAGACTCTGGTCGTCGAAGTCGCGCTGTCATTTGCAATGCCTCACGCACAGTTTGAGTGGGAAGATGAATGTCTTGCTGTTGCACATAGCCCATTCGACTTCGGAAGAACGTGGGTAGCACTTGACCGTTAAGTGCTAGAGTGCCAGTGAGAGTCCCGATGGTGGAACGACCGGCGAGTGCATTCAGCAGGGTTGTCTTACCGGCACCGGAAACTCCCATTAGAGCCTTGAGTTGTCCACTCTTGACCGAGCCACTCAGATTGTTCAGTAGACGTTGATCGCCATCCTTAGTTTTGATATCGAGACAAAGATTGGTCCATGCAAGATTGTGGCTCTTGTCGGGGTCCTGGTGTTCTTGTGACCGATGCCTGTCGTTGCTTTGGCCAGTCCCCATGTCCAAACTTTCATTCTCGTGGGCTGGCCCAGTTTCACTGTCAATTCTATCACGACGGAGTGTTCCTCGTGGGCCGCTCTTGTAGAAAACGGTGGCCAATTGACCTGCGGGCGTTTTCAGCATCTCCATACCAATCCTGTTCAAATTGCAGTGTCAATCTTGACGTTCTTCAATAAGTGGGGTTGAGCGCCTAGTGACTTACCCAGAGCAAAGAGCGAAGAATACGAACAGGGCGGCGTTAATCCCTACATTGCGCCAGAGGTGGGAGGTTTTGAATCCGTACTGGGCGTGAATGTAAGACGCCCCTGACAGGAGACGATCCCCAGGTAGCGATCCTACTACAGTACAGACCTGATGGGCCATATCGGTATATCCTGGTCCCGATGGGGCCAGGTCCGAGGCACTGCACTGGTAGCTTAGGTCTCCAAATTCATTCACCATCACCGACTCAAATGCGTAATATAGGGGCTGTGATATGTTAGCATGTCGTGTCAACAAATTCCCATACTGCGGTCTGCACTGACATTTAGATATCGCAACCACCCAAGCCATACTTGCATCTGTGGTGCGGGCACGTATAGCCCCGTATAGAGGACATACATATTAAAGAAAATCCCCACCGGGAGCACGGCCCGATGCATGTTCGGCGAGAAGATGGCGACCGAGCGAAAGAACATCGACAGAGCGAGATGCTCCAGGTAGATAATCAGGAACCAGGTGAAGAAATTCCCAGGGGTCCGTTGGAATCCGGTCAGAAAGTATAAGGGAATATTATAGCAGATCGCCGCTACCTTCCACACAACGTCCGTAGTAACCAAACCGAGCGCGTAGGCAATCGGGCGTGATATCTGGTATCGCTTTTGTTTCAGGATGAGTGGTCGCTGAGCAAATCCATTGCCAAATTCCGCCATGGATTGCAGGGCCGGCACCAGGACTGAGTAGAACAAGGCGGATGCGAAAATAAACAGGGAATTGGTCGTTCGCTGTTGGTTTCGGAACAGCGTGCCCAAAACAATACTTTGGACGACGATAGTGGTGAGCTCCACCGCCCACAAGCTATAATCACTGGTGACGATGCGGAATTGTCGGCTGGCACAGTACCAAATCTGATGCCAGATAGGGAGAGCAAAGGCTGATGCTTTAACGAGGGGACTGCGGTGGGCTTGAGATTGCTCCTTGGCCACCTGAACTGACACTTGCATTTCCTGGTAGATGCGACTCGCACCAAACGCACGCTCAAACTCTTCCGCTGTTCGTGGGACCTGGCTTTCCCTGTTTTCCTGGGCTCGTCGGACATCTGGGTCGGCGGACATCACATTGAGGAAGTCGGCAATGGTGGTGGTCGATAAGCACTCGAACCCGAGATCTTCGAAGTATGTCTTTGCTTCCTGGACCGGGCCATAGAATATTTGGCGACCAGAATTGATCACCAAAACTTTGTCAAAGTAGGAGACAATCGCATCACTGGCTTGATAGACACTCATCGCGGCCACACATCGGCTTTGTGTCGTCCACTCGCGCATCATCTCCATAAATTCGACAGCAGTGGATGAGTCCAGTCCATGGGTTGGATTATCTAGGCAGATCAGACTATGAGGATGTATCAGTAGATGAATCACTATTGATACTTAAATGAGCGGAAGAGACTACTTACCGGGCACAGGTGGCCAGGGCCTCGGCCAGAGATACCCGCCGTCGCTCTCCGCCGCTGACTCCTCGAATCTTCGCATCTCCGACTTTGGTATTAAGGACATTCTCAAGACCAACTAGCCTGGCCAGCTGGGCAACCATTGTATCAATCTCACGGGCCGAGATTTTGGGGCCGCAGCGCGCTCTGGTCGCAAATCGCAGGGTCTCTGCCACGGTCAACGTAGGAAAGTGGTCATCAGACTCGGCTAATGGAGACGTCAGTGTGTTCCTCAAAGGGTTAAACAGCAAAATCTTAGAACTGACCGCAGAAGAGAATATCTTGGGGCCGCTGTGTCATCACATCTTGTAGCGGATGACCGCCCAGAGTGAGTTCACCCTGGATTTCCTTGTACTCATCCCACAGGCCCGACAAAGTCTTCAAGAAGGTTGTACACCCACTCCCCGGTTTACCTAATACCAATAACATTTCTCCCGGGTCAATCGTGCCTGAGAATCCACTGAGAATGGGTCGAGAATACTGCCTCCTTTGTCTATTCTGCAGAGGACTCAACAGCCCAAAGGCCGATTGAGCCGCTGACGAGACGGTGGGTGCATCTTGTGACTACAAAGCATTAATTGAATGAGTTCCTTGTGAAGGATCTCGATTGGAATCGGTGATACTCACTCCAGTTCCGCTTCCCACGGCCGATATGTTGTCAAACACTACCCCGGTCCCATCTGGAATTTCGGCTTGCCGTATTTCAAGGAAATTTCGAACACTGTCTGCAATTGATTCCGTTGCTGCTACAATCTGGGATGACGTCGAAGATGGTCCGTCGGTTTCGGCCAACTCAGACTTCTGCACCGAGCCATCGGACTGGATAGGTGTCTTCGCCCCGTCCAGCGATGAATGATAATTATCTACCATTATGGAGATAGGAAGTGCGCTGCAAAATTATCACAACCCCTTCACTAACCGTGCAAGAGTTACATTGCGGACTAGAAAAGGTAGAAATATATGGATTCAAAAGGAAATAAAATCAATAGTCCATCTCCTGTACCTCCTTTCGCCGCTGAATCTAGATATATGTGGTTTCCTAAAGGAGTTTCGGAGTTTGAGAGACTGTCCAAATTGGGTAAGTGTTCTGGGCATCCTACTTGTGGCCCGGAGAATGCTAAGGTAGATGGCCTAGTGTACCTCTCAAAGGGTCTAAGAGCCAATGGCTATTTGCAACCTATAAAGCAAATGCTGCGAAGTCCGATGGGGCCCGGAACCTATCTGGCATTTTCAAGTCTCTTTGTTTCAGCATTCACATTCCAATCCCAATTTCCCATCATTAATCATGGTGCTCACGACTGGTCTCAAAGGCGCCCATGTACTCATTACAGGTAAGAAAACAAGTAAAATCCATCATGCTGCGTCTGACTGACGCGGGTACTAGGAGGCACAAGGGGTATGGGAGAGGCAATGGTGCATAAATTCCTCCAGGAGGAAGCCAATGTATCCTATTGTGCCCGGACCGTCACCAATACAGAGTTTGATGAGTTCTATCCGACGCTCCCTGAAGGAAATATCGCCCGCGCCGTGGGCACGGCATTCGATGTTGCTAGCAAAGACGCCATCGTCCAGTGGGTCGAGAGCTCCGCCGAGCGACTCGGACGAATTGACGTGATTATCGCCAATGGTGATTGATCCCCCGGGAGTCCTCTGGTTAAAATTAATACTGACTGGCCGCAGCGTCGCCGATGCATATGGAAGGCGAGACGGAGCACTGGGAGAGCAGTTTTGCGATAGATGTCATGGGCTTCGTTGAGCTGGTCAAAGCAGCTACGCCGTACTTGGAAAAGTCCACCCAGGCATCTATCATCGTGCAAAGCTCGTTCATGGGACGGGAATTCTACCGGTCCCCTCCGGCGGCTTACGGGCCCTGCAAGGCAGCGCAGCTGCAGCATGTTCAGGAATTGTCCCACTTCTTGGGGCCGAAGGGTATCCGGGTTAATGCCATCTCACCGGGACCCATCCTGTGCAAGGGGGGTCCCTGGGACCTCTATTCGAAGATCAATCCGGACTGGGTGGAGGAACAGCGACTGAAGATTCCCCTGAAGCGGTTGGGCGGGCCAACAGAGGTGGCGGCTGTGGCAGTATTCCTGGCGAGTCCTCTGGCCAGCTTTGTCTCGGGGACGAATATGTTGGTCGACGGGGGAATTCATGTTGGCACCCAGTTTTAGATTTTAGAACTCAGAATGAGACCAATGATATTATTTTGTAAACCCAAGAATGTTTCTTTTTCTACCGGGCATATCTAAATTCGCACCCTCCTCAAATTTCAAGCAGCAGGGACTATAAAGGAATAGTCCCCCATAGCAGACCAAATAAACAGAGTGAGATGAGTTTAGACAATCCTATATATGGGGTACCAAAAGTCTGTCGGAACTCCCCGAGTCACTAACAAAATTGTGATTTTCACCTCTCCTTTTTCCACATACCCATACATAAGCCCATTTTGTTAGTGTTTTAGTATTTTAATGTACTCGAAAATTAGGACATAAAGCATACAAGCTTTTTTATTCGACTTTTCTTCATCAACCTTTGAGTTTTCACACTTCTAGGGCACTATAGAAACCGGGGATGATTTTTGGGGATCCCCTCTATATTTAAATGCCATTCCATGGCCATGAGAGGAATATTCACGGAGAGATATATAATATAACCATTACATAATGTCAAGCTAGGAGTAATTCAAAAACATGTTATCATAGAAATATGGTGAGAGATTAGCGGTTGTCCAGTGTATACGTAGGTAATTCTGCAGAACGCTGATCCAACTTCCAGAAACGTTCCAAATCGCTCTCCGAGAATCGAGTAGGGTATCATCGGAGTTCTCGTCTCGGAGCCTGAGAGTATCATGCAGGTAATACTACTGAAAGCCCTAGCCAAAACAGGCGAGAGACATCATTGGAGCCCAACCAGGACTCATTGCGAACAATGAGCCTCGCATCCGCAGCCATCGGAGACAGAATACGTTTCCATCTCCATCTGGAACCCCATAAATTCCCCAAGAGATATCCGCATCTCGTCTGGTGGGGCCCGGGTGACACGAATGCGATTTTCATCATTCCGAGGAATCGACAGCGACAGAAAGCTCCTAGGGAAACTATAAGAATATGCTCTTCAATCACATTGGAGTATACAAAGCAATAAGCTCTGCTGGATAGCTCGCTTAACTTTCACAATGCGTCTTCATCGGTCCCCATCTCTTCTCCTGTTGTGCATCTTGACTGTTCTGCAAGCCTCTACCGGCTTATCCTCGAACTGCCGATGTATGCCCGGTGATAGTTGTTGGCCTTCCTCGACTGACTGGGCACGCTTCAATACATCCATCGGTGGACGACTAGTGAGCACGCAACCAATGGGACAGCCATGTCATGACCCATTCTATACCGCCAGTGAGTGTCGTTCTCTGAGACAGCAGTGGACAAAGCCAGAGCTACAGTAAGTAATTCAATCGTTCAACCAACCTCGGCGCCAGCCTCCTGAATCAGCCCCATTTGATAGCGATGCATCCTCCTCTTCCATCATGGCAGCCGCCGTGGCCAATGAAACATGTGACGCCTTTAGCCCTCGATCAAAACCTTGCAAGCTAGGTGAAATGGTGCGCTACGCCGTCAATGCCAGCTCCACAGACGACTTCATCCAGACCATTCGATTCTCCCAGGAAAGAAACATTCGTCTCGTCATTCGCAACACAGGCCATGAGTATACATAATCCGGTATGAATGGTATGTTCCATCGCTAATTATTCATCCTAGTTATTTGGGAAAGTCAACGGGTGCAGGTGCACTATCTATCTGGACCCATTATCTCAAGAACATTGACTTCCTGAACTACACCAGCTCGCACTATACCGGCCCAGCTGTGCGGATGACTGCGGGAGTTCAAGGAGCAGACATCTACGAGGCCGCCCACCGACGAGGTCTGGTGATTGTAGGCGGGGAATGTGCCACTGTAGGCCCTGTCGGGGGCTACACGCAAGGAGGGGGCCACTCAGCCCTGAGCTCTCGATTTGGCCTTGGGGCGGACCAGGTCTTGGAGTGGGAGGTGGTGGATGGTATGGGTCAATTACTAACGGCATCGCCCACCCAGAACCCGGATCTCTATTGGGCTCTCAGTGGAGGTGGGGGAGGCACATATGGTGTCGTATATGCCATGACCGTCAAGGCGTTTCCCGACTTCCCCGTCACAGGCGTTGTTCTCCAGTTTGAGAACAGTAACCCCTCGTCGCCCCATTTCTTTGAAGCCGTCGGCCACTACCATCGTCACCTTGCCACATACACTACGGCTGGCGGGATGGCGATTGCACAGATCACACATTCGTCGTTCCTGCTCACCCCGCTGACACTGCCTGCTCATACCGCAGTCGAGGCCAAGAAGTTATTGGCGCCATTTTTGCAAGACCTACACAAACTAAACATCTCCTACGCACTGAACATCACCCAGTCGCCCTCGTATTTCCAACATTATATAAAACTGATCGAGCCCAACCCGACGCAACTGGTGCAGAACGGGCAATATGGCGGTCGTCTTCTCCCGCTCAATCTCATCCAGCACAATAACTCGCAGCTTACAGATGCGGTCCAGAGAATCACCGCGGATGGGGTTACATTCGTGGGCATTGGTCTGAATGTCTCCTCATCTGTGACCGGCAATATCTGGAATTCAGTTCTTCCAGCGTGGCGTACAGCAGCAATGAGTGTCATATTATCTACGTACGCTATCTTCCCTAGGGTGGCTTTCATCTACTTTGTTTCCGTATGCTCGCTTACACAAATACTCCAGAAACTGGCCCACCGGTGCCAACCTCACCGAGATGAAAACCCTAGCAAACCGAATGACGACCAAATGGGTCCCGATTCTGACAGCCTTGAGTCCAGATTCGGGGTGTTATATGAGCGAGGCAAGGACAAGACGTATTAATGACTTGGAGGTCACTGGCTAACTATACAGACAGGCGGACCCCCAAGAGCCAGACTGGAAGCAGACCTTCTACGGTCGCAACTATGATTTGTTGTACGCGATCAAGAGGAAATATGATCCATTCAGGACATTCTATGCCCCGACGGCAGTGGGCAGTGAGGACTGGCAAGTCAAGGCTGGTGGTCGTTTGTGCCAGGTTACCAAAACAGATTGACGCGGCGAGATATCCCACGAGGGCTATAGGGAATTTTAGGACCATGCGATAGGGCAGAAAGGTCTCCAGTCTCATAGGACTCGTCAAATCCTAGTTGATATATAAGGCTATTTCATGAAAGCACGCGATAGCAGAAAAGTTTCCGCGTACCCGAATAAGAGGGTAGTATACCACATATAAAGTGGCCCGCCAAAAGTCTCTGAGAGGAAAAATTCGTCAATTCACAAAATATGTACGTAAATAAGCTACCAAGCCAGCTTGTATCTTTTCTATTTCTCTCCACCTAGCAGATCCCGCTGCCTGGTCAAGGACTATGAATTAGAGTTAGAGAGGGCGATACTCTAAGTTGGACAAAAGGTAAAAGCAGCAAGGCCAGAGCATCAAGAGCAGTAAAAGAAAATACGTCTAATCATGAGTTAGTGGTCCAGGAGTCCAATATCATCGCGCTTGCATGTAGCCACTGGGCTTCAGTGCCGGTGACCATGTCGGCAGACGTGACCATTGGCATCACACCGGATAGAGATTCCGTCGTCCCCAAAGAAGGAGATAGTTCTGGTAATGAGCCAATCGGCATCATGTCCATTAAATGCATGCGTGCTTCAAAGTTGGGCATTGGCTGGTGGGACGACATCTCCTGGGTGGTCGGTGGCAGCGCGCGCTTGAGCGAGTTAGACTGGATACCGGGTTGTCCGGGCGTGACGAACGAGGACTGGTTTAACGGCGGCATGGAATTTTGGGATCTGGTGGACAGGGTCTGGCTGGCACGTGGCGCTTGTCGTCTGGTCAGGCCTTGTTGGACGTTGGCGATGAGCCGATCGGCCTGACAACTGACTTCGCGGACGACCTGCGCCGCGTTTTTGGCCGCCAGGAAGTGATCACTCACGAGGTCCAGCGTGCGAACTGCCGTCTGCAGCGACTTTCGCGCAGAAGGCGTCGGGGGGCACACGGCATTCGCGAGCACAAAGCCCAGAGTACACAGGATGGCATCCCATTGGTACTGGAAGATGGGCGACCAGCCACGCAAGAGATCTGTTTCGGAGAGTACTTGGTTTAGGATACTGGTGATCGCCATGGCGTGATTCAGACAGGTGATATTGTGACCGTCGGTCCGTGGGGTCACGGAGGAGCTCACTGGAGGGAATCGGATAAAGGGACGTAATGTCGAGATCACAAGATGGTGATAGTGGAGCTCTAGTAGGAGGCGTTGGCGCTGCAGCCAGAGCGGGCTATACGGGGACAGATTCAGCGCGTCCCGATTGGTGGAGAAAGGGTCCCCCGCCCCCTTGCGAGGATTACAGAGCGACTGGGGCACATTTTGAACCCAGTTATGGATGGCTGTCATCTCCCGTTCCAGAAACTCGGCCAAGTTCTCGAGCAGGGGCCGGTCATCATATATATCCTTCGACTTATCCCCGTTCAGCAACTGGGAACATTTCCGGTGTAATGCTGTCTGTACTCCCTGAATGAGAAATGTGAGTTTCGTGCACTGGACATGGAAGCTGAGCCAGCTGATGTCCTCATGATTCGAGAAAAGGACTGTGCCAGATAACCGGGCGTGCTCGCGATCATCTCCAGGCAGCCCGCAGCTGACATGGGACAGCTGAATGAGTGGCGGCCGACCCAGAGTCATCGAGAGCTGGCTGTCAATCCGATAGAGCGTCCACCAAATTCGGCGCTGTAGCTCCTGCTGTTCGGGCGAGGTCCCGTCCAGCGGGCGGATATGCAGCCGCAGGGCGTGAGCGATTCGCAGCGTGGCACCCAAGTTAATATGCGCCGTGTTCAGCAGGGAGGTGTTGTACAAGTAGACGATCGAATAGATGTGACTTTGCACGACCATAATGGTTGGATTTTCGAGCTCACTCTGTAGAAGCCTCTGGGCCCTCTGGTAGTAAGTTCGACTGGCTAAATTCGCGTTTTTGGCCTGCCATCCTGCATCCGATTCCTCCTGCTGGTTGTCTCCACTGACAAAGAAGGTGCTGCTGTATTGCATACAGACTGCCAACAGCACATCGACCAAGGCGGATGGCTTCCGCGTAGATATGCCATCAGGTGTGGAACCGGACCATAATGACTCATAATGTTGCTGGAACTCGCGCTCAGAAAGGATAGGATAGACACAATGAAAGGACTGCCAGAGCAGATTGAGAAAGTGTTCCTCTTGTGACCGGGTCAGATCCTCAGCCTCCTCGTTTCCATCCGGATTTTGATCCGCCTGGCTAGCCGGGCTTGCGTCCCATCTAGACGGTTGATGAGTCGGGGCAGTATAATGAAATCGTGCCATGCATGCCTCCAACTTGGAATTTTCCAATGGCTCGTTGAGTGCTTCGGAGAGATGGCGTGTGATTCGGGAGACAAAATATGAGGATGACAAGGGCCCGTAGTGAATTTGCCCCGTCTGCTGCACGCCCTGCCACCCTTCCGTAGTATTGGTGAGCTCCGCAAAGTCAAACGAGCTATGTGCAGCATCCGACAGTGGAGGCGTCGCGAAACCCGTCTGTGCTTGGATTTCCGCTCTATCTTTGAGTTTCTCGATCTGATCCTGAAGGTCCTTGACTTTATTTCGTAATCGTTGCATCTCTCTGTTTTTTTTATAGATTCAGCAAGCTATTTATACTCATGTGATCCCGAGGGAGATTTCCTACCGGTTTGCAGCTGGGAGCGAGGTGGCCTCCTGTGGCTTCGTGTTGCTGCAAGTACCTCCTCGATTCTGGCAGTTCTGACATGGCTGCTTGTCATCGCATCTGACACGATTGAGCCGACACCAGTCACAGGCCCGAGCGACCTGGTTGCGCTTAGGGCGTGGAACTGAGGGCGTGGCTGACCTCTCACGGGAGGCATCGATCGTGGTATCGAAGTTGGCGGAGAAAGTGGAGTACATGGCGGGCCGTGTGGAAACGATTCAGGTCAGATTCATTTAGACCAGTTCGACTCCAAACGGCGGTCGGAACCTTAAAAGTAATTTCCCTCTAGACTACCAGATGGGGGATGTGGAAGAGGATGTGGAAAACCTTCAAGCTGAGTTGGTGTTGGGTGCCTGAGGTTTCATATCTTGGCCTGGACAAAAGTACACAAAGGCAATATAGGGTTTCCTGCACAGAATGAGACTTGCATGAACAACAAGGGAAAATAAATGAGAAAATAAGCCGGATACTACCTAGACGCCCATAATCCCACTAGTGTATCATGTTGGCTATTAATCTTGTCATAGATGGAATTTTGCCACTCCTCTCTGAAAACCGGAATCCCCAAGAGGGAATAATAAGCGTGGAAGCGCCATTGCGCCATTGGTCCAAGTGAGACAGATAAGATTAGACGACCTTAGAGCCGTATAACTCCCAAGCGAGGGAATCCTGTCCCTGTACGGAGTACAGAATCAGATCTTATCAACATTCAACGTTACCTCTGGACAATCTTGCCCTAAGTAATATTGGAAAGGCTAGGCTTTATATAGGCGGATATATACAGGGTGTCGATACTTATGTCAAAAAAGGAAAATTTTACTTACTATAGACAATATATGATCCCAGACATTATCCAGGTACAGAGAGGGACATCAAAAATGGATTATTGATGAAACAAAAGACACCTGCATAGCTGATGACGAAGAAAAGAATTAATTAATTTAATTCAATTTCTAGCTTGGATTCTATAATACTACCATCCAGCCCTGCAGGGATTCTTCACGATCATCCACCCCCACGTCCTATTCAGAGACTCCGTGAACTCCAACCAAGCTCGAAGGCGTGCTGAGTCGATCACCTTATCTTACAAGTTAGCTCCAATCTGTGAAGAAATCGGAAGGAGGTCCGATGTTCCGCTGTTCCGCTGCTCCTCTGGGCGACATGCATCGGCTGCAGAAACGGAGTTACCATTTTGCCATTCTACAATACGACCTGCATCGATATACAGGGATCATTTCATATTTTATGAACAAAGGGCCCATATTGCCGATTTGGCTAGTATATGTACCTCGAGGGCTAGGTATGCAGCAGCCACATGGTAGTATCATCTACAGAGTACTGCCTTGTCGCTTCCTAGATGTTATCATTTGAAACCTTATGCTCCTAAGAGCAAAATATGCAATTAAACTGAAGCATGCAAGTATGTAAGATGTCGTTATAAAGCAGACAAGACCAATCGCGGATTTCCCTTAGATTAAATGTATCCACTGGGAAAGATGTTGCATTGATTACGGATGATCTGCAAAAGAAATAGGGTTTTGATGCTGGCAGGCACAGTGTGGATGCTTTCACCGGGCCCTCGAAAAGAAAACGCCCAATAGAGAGAAAGAAGGGGGGTGATGATCACATTCTAGCGCATAATCCTCTAATCTAATCAAATCGAGCGAACACCTCTTGTGCCTCGGCAAATTCTCGCATAATGGTCTCTCGCTTGTCGGGGGAGCGGAGACGAATGGCACATCCATAATCCTTGGGGCAGTGGAGAAATCCTTTACTAGCGCCGGAGTGAGCTGAAATGTCACTGTCGCTGCCAGGTGGCTCGACGAACTCAAAGGCCCAGAGCAGCTTGGCAACGCCTATGATCAAGTTGCGCTCCGCTAAGTGGATGCCCGGGCAGATGCGTCGGCCCGCTCCGTAACCAAGGTGGTCTCTTCGTTCGGACGCTGCGTAGGTTGAAGCCAAGGCTGGGAAATCGGCGAAACGTTCAGGCTGGAAATGCTCTGGTTCCTGCCATCGATCACTGTCATGATGCATCCCCCAGACATTAAGAACGATGCTCGATCCTTGCGGAATGAGTTTCCCATTGATATGGTCATCTGAGAAGTATTGTTAGCAAATTTATTCTGGTTTTGATAGTTCCCTTCTCTCATATTATCTGCGATCACGGGCATGGTAGAGAAATCACGGATTTGTAAGACAGACCTTCAGCGACGGCGTGGGTAACGCCAAGAGGGCTGACTGGACGCCACCGGTGGGACTCTTTGATGATCATATTGATATAGGGCAGCTGGGACCAGTCAGACCAAGCCGGAGAGCGGTCATGGCCGATAATGGAGTCGATTTGTGCATGAGCCCTGCAATACCACTTCATTAGCTTTCTCACTTGAGCAAATGCGGATAAAATATCCGAGCATACTTTGCTTGCACTTCCGGATATTTGGTCATCGCCTGGATAATGGTCAATATAAGCGAGGACGAAGTATCGGAGCCTCCTTCCATCAGAACTCCCCCTAGGAATCGTAGCTCATTTTCGGTAATCGGAGTCTGCTTTAGTGTATCGAGAACTCGGTCCATAAAGGAGTCACGCTGAACACCGCGTTGGCGGCGCTCCTGCACCTGCTCCAGCACAGTCTGGTAAAGGGACTGCATTAGATCACCCACTTCAACCGCCCGGTTCCGCCAATTGCCCAACAGCCACTGTGGCACATATCGCAGCAGAGCAAACGAGTCAACAGGCGGCGTGGCACCCAGTTCCTGCACCAAGGACCACTTTTCCATCAGATAGAAGAGCTTGTTCATGTACTCATCGTGGACAGTTTTGGTGCGAATTCCAAAGACAAGCGAGTTGGTGATACTGTTACTGTACCGCTTGGGATGCAGCATGTGATCCTCTGGCATGGTCAGAAAGTCGTGCAGCATCTGTTTGGCTTCGGCCTCTTGAACTTTCCAGTGGTCGCGCTCGCAGCGGGGCTCCATGAAGTATTGGTGAATTATTTTACGCAGCGTGCGCCATCGCTCACCATACTGCATGACCAGCAGATGGTCACTCTGCGTGATCAGGTGGGATACTAGTGATGCCGGTCGGTGGGAATATATGTTGCTTTTTTTGTCCAGCAGTGTCTTGATCAGTTTCTGGTCGCTGATGACAATGGTGGTGTTGTTATATCGTTTCAGCGTGAAAAAGCCGCCATATTCCTTGGCCCATCGGGAGAACCTACGCGAATTACTTAGCATATTACCCCGATACATCACATGGAAGTGGTTGTTCTTTACTGAAAATGTGCATCCGACTTTGGCACCTGCAGCTCGTTTCCAAAAATTGGAACGGTTGGAGGACCTATGCACGCGTCAGAAATAAAGTCCCGCTTCATCGCAACCACATACCGTCCGGAAGCTCTGAGGGTCGATGCCCTGCACGAAGGAGATATGCCACGAAGAACAATGCGCTGATACTGCTGAGCAGTATTGCCAGAAGATGCGTTGGTGAGAGCTGTAGGATATCCATGATGGTGACAGATGGCCGAAAAGTGTTCCTCAGGGCAGACTTATTGTCTTTACTTATGGTCCTCATCAACGCGGGGAACGGGGATAATACCTATTTTGAGATAGGGAATCAGCTGGGTGGGTGATGGTTTAGGGTTCCTAAAGGAGAATCGGAGTCTGCTCGTATAGAAATCTCACCTGGATATAGTATTTACGGGTACATATATCATTCTAATTGCCGATATGTCATCAGTGAGGCCTTTGTGATGCTGGAAAGTACCATCTTGACCTTGCCAGAATGAGCAGTTGGGTGTCAAGCGTATGTTACAGTCTTCGAGCATACTTAGAGAAGGGCATCGGTGCCCTATTAGCCCCCGATGCATGGAAACAGACCCTTTATATTTGATGGTCTACGTAAACAGAGTAACCCAGAAGCACTGTGTAAGGATATAGTCTTATACCACAGATGACGTGCCACGTGAGGTTATGCGTTCGCCCCTTGGGATGACGGTCGCCTTCCCACTGTCTATATATCTCAATCTAAACAATCTGTCAAAAGTCTATTTTGCACTGGCCCTACGCGGAAGCAGGGAGGAAAAATAACAATCGAATTCGAATCTTGTGGATATATCTCTACTTGTCCGCATCATCGACCACCGTCCGTCGCTGTGTCCAAGACCCCAACTGCTCCAACTTGCTCTCGACCCCTGTGGAGTGACCGTTGGACCCATTCACTGACCTGGGCTGTGCGCCGTTGAACTGCCCCTGATCATAGGCCACTGGACCCAGGCCTAATGGTGTGGGGGACATATCCTCCGTCCACTGCTCGAATTCGGCATTTTCAGGCTTAGCCCTGGGTTCCAGTTCCGCCTGTTTTGTCCAGGATTTCTCCTCCTCGAATGCGGCGTGCACCAGATGGCGCTGGAAGAAGGAACCCTTCATCTTGGCGACAGCAAAGTCCCAATCCGTAGTATATTCTCGGAAGAAGGGCTTATAACCCAGCAGCCCTCCAATCCAACGGCCTACGATCACACAGGTCCAATATCCGACCTGCCGGCGAAAGGGCACCCATGCGGGAGCGGGTGTATAGGCATCTCCGCCGTCTTGGATCTACTACCATATCAGCTAGTGTCACGGGGAATTGTGCACCTATAATATTTTATTACCGCGAGGAACTGGATCCAATCAATTCCTCCATCGTGCAACAGTGCGTCGTGCCAATAGCCGTACCAATTCTCGAAGAAGACCCGATCGAGCTGGTAGTCATTCCCGGAGTCCGATGCACTTAGGTAGACCGTCATGCTCTCGGGAGAATCTGGATGAATGAAGAAGTTATGCACGCTGCCCGCCTTGACCGAGATCTCACCGTCTTCGGGGGTGATGCGGCGGACGACCCCGTCCACTGCAATACCGAGCACACCATTCTCGACGCGGAAGTACTCGGTTTGAAATTGGTGAAAATGCGGCGGCGGACCCTTTGGTCGATCGGCGCTGTTAATGAGCTTGCGCAAATTTTCTGGGATCGACCCTTCAATGGTGTGGCGGTATGTCTGACGGAATAGAAAGCAACGGCCTGGTGGAGGTTCGAGGAATTCAGTGGTGAGAAGACCGCCAAATCTGGAAAATGGCTCTATGTCAGCAATCAAGAGACCCTTGGCCCAATAATCAGGAAGGGGGTTTCTTACTTAATAATGGTCGACTGGCCAGCTGAGTAGTGGTAGGGCACAAATGGAGCCATTGTAATAAGATACTTGCGATAGTTGGCTAGGTAGTAGAAATCGAATTTTACAACAAAAACATGAATATTCGAGCTCTTCTGCCAAAGATTACCTGGAAGTACTACAGTGACCTTACCAGCATCTATATACTTGTACTTGTTATCTCATTTAACCGCCTCTTTTGCATGCAGAGTCCCCCATGGGCTCCCTGTCAAGACATGTCAAAATGGCCTGATCAAAACTTTAGAGTATCTTTAGCGATGCACATTCTCCTCTGAGATATCTAAACGGAGTTCCCATGAGGGTCCCAAAGAGTGGGGGAGCTCAGCCGCCACCCTTTAAAGAAATCATCCCCGGCGCTCCTTTGGGTAAATCAGCATGCATCCCGTTCAGGCTTAGGGCTGACGGAGGCTTGCCCTCAACGTCTCAAATCCCTGAAAATCCTTTCAAAGATCGCCATCGCCACAGCTTACGGGCGGGAAGACAACACTTGACGGATATTCCCGCTGGCCGTCGGTGGGATTAATCTTGTGAAGCTTGGCTGCATTATGTCGGAACCCCGAACAACCCCCGAATGGACGAATGGACCTGGATAAAGATGCCCCAATTCGGAAATTAGATGGCGGCAGCCACTATCTCCATTGATTCTCTTGATTTCAAAGGCTACCTTGTGAATGTTCTGGATGTCGGCCTCACCGAGGCGATAAGAAACCACCTTGGAGGGGAGGCCCAGAGGAGGCCCGGAGGAATGGATGTCCATATATTGTACTAAGGAACGAGATATATAAAGGAAGATCAATAACCGACAGCTGTGAACATTTCCATGAAGAAAGATTGACATTGATTGCTAAGGGATTTAGTCTCTTAACTGCTGAGAGACATGCATTCTGTTGCAACTTCTACATACCCCTCTGGGGGCACATCCCCAGCACCAGCTGAGACCCCAGGGACAGAGTACAGTGAATATGTCTGTGGCCCCAAACCCCGACGTGTTGCATCGTCTGCTACAAGCGTTCCTCCAGACTGACAGTGAATAGGAATTCTCCAACGACGTGGCGGTGGTGGGAATGGCCTGCCGCGTGGCGGGAGGCAATCACAACCCCGAGCTTCTCTGGCAATCGCTCCTCAGCCAGAAGAGTGCAGTGAGTGAGATTCCACCGATGCGATGGGAGCCTTACTATCGTCGGGATCCGCGAAATGAGAAATTCCTCAAGCAAACGACGTCGCGTGGTTATTTCTTGGATCACCTGGAAGACTTTGACTGTCAGTTCTTTGGAATCTCCCCTAAGGAGGCCGAGCAGATGGACCCCCAACAACGAGTCTCCCTGGAAGTGGCATCGGAAGCCCTGGAGGATGCCGGTATTCCTGCCAAGAGCTTGTCTGGGAGCGACACAGCGGTCTTCTGGGGTGTAAATTCAGACGACTATTCCAAACTAGTGCTGGAGGATCTGCCGAATGTCGAGGCCTGGATGGGTATTGGCACCGCGTACTGTGGCGTGCCTAATCGCATTTCCTATCATCTCAACCTGATGGGACCCAGCACTGCCGTGGATGCGGCCTGTGCATCGTCTCTCGTCGCCATCCATCATGGAGTTCAAGCCATCCGGCTTGGGGAATCGCAGGTGGCTATTGTTGGAGGTGTCAATGCCCTCTGTGGGCCAGGCTTGACCCGCGTCCTCGACAAAGCGGGGGCCATCTCGTCTGATGGATCTTGCAAGTCCTTCGATGATGACGCCCATGGGTACGCTAGAGGTGAAGGCGCCGGCGCCCTCGTCCTCAAAAGTTTACACCGCGCATTGCTCGACCATGATAACGTCTTGGCTGTCATTAAAGGCAGTGCAGTATGCCAGGATGGTAAGACAAACGGCATCATGGCCCCCAATGCCAAAGCGCAACAGCTAGCAGCACACAATGCTCTCGCCGTTGCGAACATAGACCCTCACACCGTGCGCTATGTGGAAGCCCATGCCACGTCCACACCCCTGGGCGACCCAACTGAAATATCCGCCATCGCAGGCGTCTATGGCGCCGACCGCCCCGCCGAAGATCCGTGCTACATTGGGTCCATTAAACCCAATATTGGTCACCTGGAAGCTGGTGCAGGCGTCATGGGCTTCATAAAAGCAATCCTGACCATTCAAAAGGGCATCCTGCCGCCCCAGGCCAACTTGACAAAGCTGAATAGCCGAATCGACTGGAAGACAGCTGGCGTGAAGGTCGTCCAGGAGGCCACCCCGTGGCCCTCCTCGGACCCTATCCGGCGAGCAGGTGTGTGCTCGTATGGGTACGGAGGTACCGTTTCCCACGCAGTTATCGAGGAGTTCAGTCCTATCCTGCAGCCCGACCCCCTGGATGACGGGGCAGTCACCGGACCAGGCCTTTTGCTATTGTCTGGGCCCCAGGAGAAACGCTTGGCCCTACAGGCCAAAACGTTGCGAGAGTGGATCACTGTTGAAGGGAAGGATCATAATCTGAGTGACATTCTCACCACTCTGGCTACGCGACGAGATCACCATGACTACCGAGCAGCGCTTGTGGTTGACGACCATCGTGACGCTGAGCAGGTCTTGCAATCATTGGCCAATGGAGTCGACCACATTTTCACGACTCAGAGCCGTGTGTTAGGCGCAGATATTAGCAAGGACGTTGTCTGGGTGTTTTCCGGGCACGGTGCGCAGTGGCCAGACATGGGAAAGCAACTAATTCACAATCCTGTATTCTTCAGAGCCATTCAGCCACTCGATGAGCTAATCCAAGCTGAGATTGGCCTTTCGCCCATAGAGCTGCTCCGGACGGGCGACTTTGAATCATCTGACCGGGTACAGATTCTTACCTATGTCATGCAAATCGGGCTCAGCGCCATGCTTCAAAGCAATGGTATCACTCCACAGGCCGTGATTGGCCACTCCGTTGGCGAAATCGCGGCCAGTGTTGTGGCCGGGGCTTTATCCCCAGCAGAGGGCGCGCTAATTGTCACCCGCAGAGCGTTGTTATACCGACAGGTTATGGGCAAGGGCGGCATGATCCTTGTCAACCTCCCTACTGCCGAGACCGAAGAGATCTTAGGTTCCCGATCAGACCTGGTTGTGGCCATTGATTCATCGCCTTCTTCCTGCGTTGTGGCTGGAGACAAGGAGATGGTGGCCGAGACAGCAGAGGCCTTGAAGGCACGGGGCGTGAAAACATTCACTGTTAAGAGCGATATTGCCTTCCACAGTCCAACCCTGAATGGCCTTGTGGATCCTCTGCGCAACGCGCTTGAGAAGACTCTGTCCCCCATGAGTCCGAACATCAAGTTGTATTCCACCGCACTGGTAGACCCTCGCGGCCAGGACCTGCGCGACGTGGAATACTGGGCTGGCAACATGGTCAACCGCGTCCGTCTCACCTCGGCCGTCAAGGCCGCTGTTGAGGACGGATATCGCCTCTTCCTTGAAGTCTCAACCCATCCAGTGGTGTCTCACTCTATCAACGAGACGCTAATGGATGCAGGCATGGAGGATTTTGCAGTTATTCCGACTCTCCTTCGTCAAAAGCCAACTGAGAAGTATATCTTGCACAGCATTGCACAGCTTCACTGCCGCGGCGCGGAAGTAAACTGGTCGGCGCAGATGCCTGGACGCTGGGCCACCGGACTGCCCACCACGACCTGGATGCATAAGCCCATCTGGCGCAAGATAGAGACAGCGCCCCTCCATACAGGCCTCACGCATGATGTCGAGAAGCACACGCTTCTAGGACAGCGCATCCCAGTGCCCGGCACTGACACCTTTGTCTACACCAGCCGGCTGGACAACGAAACAAAGCCTTTCCCCGGCAGCCATCCCCTGCACGGCACCGAGATCGTTCCGGCAGCGGGTCTTATTAATACTTTCTTGAAGGGCACCGGCGGCCAGATGCTCCAGAACGTGGTGCTCCGCGTTCCCGTTGCCATCAACGCGCCACGATCTGTCCAGGTCGTAGTGCAGCAGGACCAGGTGAAGGTCGTGTCCCGGCTGATTCCGAGTGAGCCCTCGCTGTTGGATGACGATGCTTCCTGGGTCACTCACACCACTGCATATTGGGATCGGAAGGTATTGGGTCCCGAAGATCGCATCGACCTCGCCGCCGTCAAATCGCGACTGGTCACAAAACTACCAGACAACTTTTCGATTGACTACTTGGACAAGGTGGGCGTCTCAGCCATGGGATTCCCCTGGGCTGTAACAGAGCACCACCGCAATACCACGGAGATGCTGGCGCGCGTTGATGTCAACCCCGCCGTCCTGGGAGATGCCCCATTGCCGTGGGATTCTTCTTCCTGGGCCCCGATTCTCGACGCTGCCACCTCCGTTGGCTCAACTGTCTTCCAAACAGCTGCGCTGCGGATGCCGGCCCAGATCGAGCGCGTGGAGATCTTCACCTCGGAGGATCCGCCCAAGACCAGTTGGCTCTATGTCCAGGAAGCCTCGGATGCAGTGCCCACCTCTCACGTTAGCGTGGTGAGCGAAGCAGGTGAGGTCCTTGCGAAGTTTACGGCCATGCGCTTCTCCGAGATTGAAGGCACCCCTGGCGTCAGTGGCAGCATGGAGAGTCTCGTGCATCAGATCGCTTGGCCACCGGCCACCCCAGCTGAAGAGCCCTTGTCCATCACAACGGTGATTCTGGTCTCACCCGATGCTACCACCCGGGCCCAGTATGTCGCGACTCTGCCAACCCAAATTCAATCCTTCCAGTTCGCCACCACACAGGACTTCTTCAATAACGCTTCATCCCTCCCACTGGAGAAGGGAACCGTGGTGACCTACATCCCCGGTGAAGTTGCCTCACTGGCAGAGGTTCCCGCTGCATCCGAGTCATTCACTTGGAGCCTCCTCGAGCTGATCAAATTCATCGTCAATGGCTCATTGCCCATCAAAGTCTTCACTCTCACTGCGAACGTGGGCGATGGTCAAACACCCACCGCCCTGGCTCAATCCCCATTGTTCGGCCTGGCCCGCATCATTGCAAGCGAGCATCCTGATATGGGATCCCTCATCGACGTTGAAGAGCCTATCATTCCCCTGTCGACGATGCGATACATCCAGGGGGCCGACATCGTCCGACTCAGCGACGGAATCGCCCGCACCTCCCGGTTCCGCAGCCTACCGCGCACCAAGCTGCTCCCCGTCAGCGACGGTCCTCGCCTGCTTCCCCGTCCCGAGGGCACATATCTAATCACCGGTGGTCTCGGAATACTCGGACTCGAGGTCGCTGACTTCCTGGTTGAGAAGGGGGCCAGGCGTCTGTTACTCATCTCGCGGCGTGCCCTTCCCCCTCGCCGAACCTGGGACCAAGTTAGCACAGATCTCCAGCCGACAATAGCCAAGATCCGCCTTCTGGAGAGTCGCGGCGCCTCGGTCCATGTCCTTCCCCTAGACATCACCAAACCGGATGCGGTCGAGCAGCTGTCGACGGCGTTGGACCGCCTTGCCCTGCCTTCGGTCCAGGGTGTCGTACATGCCGCCGGCGTCCTCGACAACGAGCTAGTGATGCAAACCACTCGCGACGCCTTCAACCGGGTTCTCGCGCCCAAAATTGCGGGCGCGCTAGCCCTGCATGAAGTCTTCCCCCCGAAGAGTGTTGATTTCTTTATCATGTTTTCCTCCTGTGGAAACCTGGTCGGTTTCACTGGCCAAGCCTCTTACGGCAGCGGTAACGCCTTCTTGGATACACTGGCGACCCACCGGGCGCGCCTAGGCGACTCGGCCGTATCCTTCCAGTGGACGTCGTGGCGGGGCCTGGGCATGGGTGCCAGCACGGACTTCATTAACGCGGAGTTGGAATCCAAAGGAATCACGGACGTGACGCGCGATGAGGCCTTTGCTGCCTGGCAGCATCTCGCCAAGTATGACATGGACCACGGAGTTGTATTGCGAAGCCGCGCCTTTGAGGATGGGGAGCCGGTGCCTGTGTCCATCCTGAATGATATCGCAGTGCGACGCGTGGGCGCACTATCTGGTACCGCGCAGCTGGCTGCAGGTTCCAATGGCAGTGATGTGGTGCCTACGTCGGGACCGGAGCTCAAGACGTATTTGGACGAGAAGATCAGGGGCTGTGTGGCCAAGGTCTTGCAGATGACACCTGAGGATGTGGATTCAAAGGCAGCCCTGGCTGATCTGGGTGTTGACTCAGTCATGACGGTCACTTTGCGTCGCCAGCTGCAGCAAACGCTGAAGGTCGCGGTGCCCCCAACGTTGACATGGAGTCATCCAACTGTCAGTCATCTGGTGGTGTGGTTTGCCGAGAAGATTGGCAATTGATTAGCCTTCAATTCAACGCGATCGGCTGATCGAAGTAACCAGGACCAGTCGATGGTTATTCTTAGTGTTCATATTGAGATCATTCTGTTGTTTGTTGACTTCTGAGTTTTTATTGTGTTCTTCATGTCTCTGATTTACGTTTGTATCGTTTTATATTCCATTCCATGATTGCGAGAGCCTTGATAACTAGACGGACCGAAATTTATCTTTTATGTTCTTTTTTGCAATATATAGTACGGAGTAGGAAAAGCCGAAATGTGAAGAATGTCGCTTCATTCTGTTACGCTAACCGACCTAAGATAATAGGATATGTCACGTGGTTATTTCATGTGGTCACGTGTAACGATGTCACCTTCCTAGATGGTAATATCTTCCCCCTTCGAGCCACCATCGGAAGGAGCGATGAAGGAGTCCATGGCTACAAAACACTGGTAAATTGGAAAGGAATACAGTTCATTGTGCTCCACTGGTCAGAAGGACTTGCTTCAGAAGAAAAATATCAAAAATCATCAAAAAGTGGCCCATGGGCCCCATGAGTAGACTAACAGTAAGAAACTAACTCCGTCTCCATCTCCCCATATCAGTGCACGCACCCCCTACCTTGCACCAGCAAAAACATCAACGTAGCCATCAGAAGAACTAGCATACTCGTCCTCAGAGTCAGAGCACTCAGAGTCAGAGCACTCAGAGTCAGAGCACTCAGAGTCAGAGCCCTCAATCAATCCCCGTTCTAGCAGCACGGACTTCATGTTCCGCAAATCAAACTGCACACGTTCGTGCACTGCCTTGATGGCCTGATATGCAGTCACCGCCGCTGCAGGGTCACTCATGTGGTACACAGCGGGCTCTTGTAGGGGTGAATGATACCACGCGTAGTCATACGAAGGCCCTTGGCGGGGTTTCACGATGTACGAATCCGGTAGGGGGCGATCGGCCTTCTTTTTCATTGCGGGGACAGGGGCGGCCTTCCGTTGACTCGGCGTGGTAGAGGCTGCCGCGTCTCCGGTCGGAGTTATGCGTGTGGGGTCATCGGATTGACCAACATCGCTTTCAAGCACATGGAGAGCTGGTGTTTTGCCTTCCTGTTTCATTTTCTCCATTTTGGGAAGGCACATAGAGACCAGGGGGTCTACTAGAGATTGGAGGATTCTGGGAATATTTGCACTAATGTGTAGAGGAGAAGAAAGCTATACAGAGCAGGGAAGACAAGAGGGTATTACTATAGACATGGAGAAGCAAACAGCCTACAGGTGGTGACATACAAATTCAAAGGGAGTGATAGTAGTCCATCAACCGTCATCCTCTTGTCTTCTTTGTCTCTTACTCTTCTCTTTATTGTTATCTGCTTGTTTTACTGTAGCCCTTGCTAGGACTTCTATGCTCTTCCATTACGAGAGAATTGCAGTCATGAATCATTACCCACCTATCTCTGCCACTTACTGGCTTCCTTCCCATTTGAGAACTACTCGTGTAGGAAGGCACGATGTCCCCACCTGCGAGTATAACCCCCCCCCAACTTCCTTTTTCTTCTTCTCCCTCCTTCCAAATTGCGAAGCCAAATCCCAGTGTTAAGAAAGAAATTCTCGCTGGGCAACCAAAAACAAATTCCATATGTGCAGAGAACAGTCCCCATCCAGCCGTCGTCCAATTTCATCCATCAACTTCGTAACCCGGCCCCTTAGAAACCACTCTGTTTGGAGTGGCTTCAGTAGAACAGCGTAATAAGCCAAGAGTAGCAATGCCCCCGGGTGATTATGATCTAACAAATCAAAGTACTCGGGCAACACCCGAGTCAGCCACGAACTCAGAGCATCCCAAACACTCAACGTCGCGCCAAATCGTCGTATGAACTCAAATGCTTCCGCCAACTTGAGAGCTGCATCGCGGTATATATACATATTATTATCCGACAATATCTGGTCGTAAGCAACAGCTTCGCTTGAGTCTGGCATGGCAGACAACAATGATACAAGTAATGTATCACTCGGGTCAGCAGCGAAGCTGAGATCATCCCGCCATATTGCTGTGAATGGAGCTAATGACCCCTGTGTTAATTCAGTCCAGACATTGCACAGCATTGAGCAGCCATTGCGCAAAAGACTAATCCAGTTCGAAGACGGGGAGCTTGCTTCCCGGTCATTACCGAGAAACAATATCTCGTCTTCACTTTCGGAGCTTAGGCCGTAGACGACGAGGAAGAATGCATAGGCCAGTATTGCTTGAGAATTATTCGTGTCGACCTGCATAGTTGCCAGGTGGAATGCTGGAAGTGCTTGGTCTTGATGTCGGATTGCCTGGAGCATGTATGATCGTTGATTCTGGGGGTTGCTGGAAGCCAGGTGGAGCGCCGAACAGGCTAGCATCCCATGAAGCAAGAATGGGAATTGGGCGGCTAATTCAGGGACAATGATCCGGAAGGCGCTGTCAGTATCTGAGCCACATGATATCGTTTTATATGTGTAGTTCAGATAATGGTCGAATAGGTGCGTGTTCTCGATGCTCAACGACATGTTGTTCTCAAGGGTAGATAGACTTAGTATTCTTTGCTCTGAATCTGGGGTTGTGATAGTCTGCAAATGACAGTTAAAGAATTTGTCTGCGAATTATTACTTGTTCTACTTACAGTCATTGGAGATTCCCCGCTTGCACTCGTTGGTTCTTCTGAACTATCAGTCGACAACACCAAGAGCGCCGGGTTTGTAAAATAACGCAAGGCATTTCCCCGAAAGAAGGTCTGCAGCGGCACTGAGGACCAGCTTCTATCATTGCTGGTACTGTTGTAATGCATAGATGACTGATGCGCTTTCATTCGCTTGAGAGTAGCACATAGGTGAGCGCACCCCTCAAGGCGACAGACCAGCCCGTCGTGAATCGGTAACAAGTCCACCGGAAACTGAGTCTCGTCTGTTAAGACTACAGAATCCATTTGGGCTAGCTGAAACTGAGCCGCATAATCTAGAAACGCTCGACGTCGCAAGCGATCTAAATGGTGAATCTCCTTGAGATGGCGGACGATAGCCCCGGGTTGAATGGCATAACGGCAACGCAAGCAAATCAAAACCTGGTGGGCCGGGAGATAGCGTAACAACTGGTCTGGAGAGACTGCTTCCGGGATAATCTCTGAGATCATGATCAAGACTGTAGGGCGATGGAAGATGTAAGGTGAGAACGACACCGTCGATTTCTCGGGCATCACGCCTAAGCCCGACTAGCCAATCACAGTTGAGAACGGCACCGTCGGTTTTTCTATAGAGCCCTAGAGGTAGTTATGCCATTCAACTATTTATACCCTCGCTGGCCCTCTCGCAATAGATTCTTACAATCATCCACTCTCATCTCTACCAATAACACCAAGATGTCTTTCTTCAATTCTTACCCCGGTTTCCTCTACCGCAAATTCCTAGTAGACTTCCGCAAAGCCCCATAAAAGCCCATCTTACCAGCCTCTGTAATCGCTGTATTACGACCTCTTACTAGTCGTATAAAGTTAAAACTCAGAATCTAGGTTTATACTAGCTATATAAGTATATACTTTAATTAGAATAGAATCCGATCGGTGGAAGTTGAGATATTACAGAAAATGTGTAATGTTAGTATATATTTACGATTTATGCGGGAGTACCACCACTTTCTAGAGAACCTCTGTAATTTAAAAAAATTATAAATAAACAAATTTTTCGTGTTTTTAAATATGATTTAGAGAAATAACTAGTAATCGATTCTAGATCATTTAAACTGATATAATATTACATTAGGGATAAGGCTTAGAAACGGTGCTAAACATGGGGTAATTAAAAAAACCTAAAAAGGGGGTTTAACTTGGCATATTTGTATTGTTTGGGGCCTAATGGGCTTTTACCATGGGCCTATAGCCCATCGATGGGCCCGAGGACCGGGCCCAAAGCCCAGCCCATTTACGGGTTGGGTTGGGTTGGGCTTTGGGCTTTGTGGGCCGGTGCGGAAGGCTCATTCCTAGTGTGCCCTCTTAGGGCACCATCGACCACCTCTCTCCAAGGCAAAGCCGGCATAGTGACAGGCTCAAACACTGGCCTGGCATACCAGGCCTCAGCCCAGCTACTAAAGCTTGGTCTCCCGCATCTCATACTAGCTGTACGCAGCCTTTCTAAAGGCGAAATTGCGCGCAATTCCCTCCTCGTCTCCCTTCCCAAGTCTATCAAGCCTCCCGTTGTCGAAGTCTGGGAGCTAGACTTGGAAAACTATAGTAGTATTACCAGTTTTGTTAGGCGTCTCCAGCAATCTGGCATCTGTATCGACTTCGCCCTCCTCAATGCCGGCGTTGCCAGCTTCAACTATACCCAGGCTCTATCGACATCGCACGAGTCGAGTATCCAGATAAACTGACTAAGCACTGCTCTGCTTACTCTGCTTCTCCTTCCGGTTCTCAACAAACAGGATGTGGTCAACCCCACCTGTCCCCGCTCGGTGATCTCAATCGTCGGTAGCGAAGCTGCTGCTTGGGCAAAGTTCAAAGAATCCCAGGTCTCTACTGCGAAGAGTCATCCCCTCATCAAGGTGCTGGATGACAAGACGCATTTTGACATGGGTGATCGATACTACACGTCGAATCTACTCTATCAGCTCTTTTTCCTAGAGCTTTTCCGCAGCCACAGATATGTTTCCCAAGGTGCGATTCTCAGTCCCGTCAATCCTGGCTTTTGCTATGGATCTGAGTTGCATAGTAGAGCTGAGGGGGCTCTTGGGAAGGTCTTTTCTGGTATGAAGAGGGTTGTGGGCCGATCTGTCTCTATGGGTGCTCAGACCCTTGTTCATGCGGCAGTACTGGCTGGCGAGAGCGAAGATGGTAGATATCTGAGTGATTGTAAGGTAGCTCCGTTTTCAGGGTATGGGGAGAGCTGTGCTGGTCGGAAGATGCAAGCTCAGGTGTGGGAGGAAACTGTGGGAGATCTAAATCGGGTAATGAACATTGACAGCCTGTTGGCAGAGATTTGAGTAGTGGGTATACGATGTTTTACCTTGCTTTGTATTAGGTAGTATGATTTAATTTGTATTAGGTAGTATGATTTAATCCCCATAGAACAGAAAGATAACCCTATCAACTAAACTACATCAACTAAACTGTCCAGGTAGCTAAACTACACATTGCTCAATATATAGCAGGAAAGACTCCGAATGGGAAGAATGTGACAAGTTGCATATTATGGAGGAATAATGTATAACAGAAATGGTGCGTGCAAGGTCTGTACAGATCATATCGTCGACCTACTTTCCTAGTCCCCGTACCATACATAGTTTAGATGAGAGCGAACCTACGGCTGATATATCTAACAAAGCGCCTTGATAACACAACCAAGCGAGTAAAGGCACTTAAGTCGTTCAAATCTTTTCAGAGCTGGCTAGCTTCTCCATCAGGTTATTTGCTTGGGTTCTGAGGCAAGATAAGGAAACCTTGTGAGGTTGAAGCTGTTTGTGAGTTGCTCCATGCACTAGGTTATATATATGGTTCCCGTTTTTCTAAATAATGTATCAGCAAAAATCATGAAAAGAGACACACTACGTAGATAAAAGATAATGAACTCACTAAAGTTATATATAAAAATACACATGCTCGAGACCCAACCTTGTCGAGAAAGACTGGTGGTCAGGGGTGCTTGCTTATAGATTCGGCGTCTTCGAACTCGAGGTCAAATCCATCGATAATGTCTTCTCTTGTGGCATCCTCGGTGGCGAGGCTTCGCAAAAATTGAGCGGGTTGAGACATCACAGTTCACACCGGCCGCTTGTTATTATCTTTCAAGCCTAATCTTCTCATTTGACAGTTCTTCACGTCTTCACAGAGCTGCTAGGAGATCACATTGTGTGCAGCTTTCCCCTTAAGTTCTTCCTGGCGTCTTTTTGTTGTCAGTCCCTTGGTCCATTTCTTCCGGAATCATTATTTGACGGAGAACGAGGCTGGACAAGCTTCAATAGACAGGATACGGTCAGTAAAGAAATTTCGAGTGCTATAACAACACAACAGCTGAGCGACTGGACGAACCGAAAAAGACTTGTTCTGGGAGCCTCATAGCCCCTCCTATCGGATACCACAGTATTTACGAGCGTAGCCCCATGAACCATCGAAGGCAGGTATATCCCTGTGATGAAGGCGTCGTTTCGACCACGTTAAGGGTGAAAGGTCAAGGTTTGAATCCTCAAGGTCACAGTGGAAGGGTCTGTGCTGCCCTTTGGGATTTTCCAGCGACTATCTCCAGCCTGTGCGTTCACATTCGCTATTTCGATAGTTAGAAGTGTGGGTTCAGCTTCTGCTTCTCATTTTGCATTGCACTTTACCTTTCATATCAGGTCTTTGACCAGATGAGGCAATTACTGAGTAGAGAGAGGAAGGCGAGGCGGCTATCCAAACAATGACATCCTTGTCATACGCTGAGTCTCGTTCTTGACCTCCACCCTAGTTAGTAGAATCCTAGCCAGTGAGTTACCGTCAACCCAGAGTGTCTTACTGGCTTCCTTCCAGTCCGCACGCCTACCATCAATTTCTGGAGTAGGTCACAATCAGATAAATCGTGAGTAGTCATCATAGTACTCTTTATGATAAGTCTTTTTATGTCGTTGTGGTCTCAGTTGCCGCCCATGGCTATACGTAGTAGTAATGCAGGGGATTTTAAGTAGGACGAGGACGCCTGAGGCTAGCGGAATGACCGAAACTGAAAAGGTTGCAAACGGACTGTCGATGTGCAGTCATGCTTAAGATTTGCTGGAAAGAGTAAGATGTGATAGAGCGAGAGGAGAGGAAAAGGATTGATTCTCTACAAGCAAACACGAAGCTACCTAGTTAGTTACTTGCCACAACAAGATGTGGTGAGCGAGTTGAGATATCAACATAAAGTAATTCTTACTCATTTCAACCAGCTCTCATTGTTGAGGAATGTTAGCCCTTTGAGGCTGTGGTATACTCGAGGGCCGTTATGCTTTCATCGTCTAAAGCCTCCAGAAGACCTTCATGGGCGTATCATATAGTCCAGATCACAGTTACGGTCGGTCTGTGGTCTTCGATTCAAAAAATCTGTCTACTCTCTCATGTCTTTTCAACAAAGCCTGTTGGCGATCTTTCGGCATGACAGCGAAGGTGTCTTGGGAGATTTTGGGTTCAACATTTTGATCTTGTATGGAGCGCTGGAGGTTCGAGTTTGAGGCGTCTCTAGGTAGATAATATCAGAGATGTTCTTTTATTTCAAATAGCATAGGCTTTGAACTCAACTTGTTCGTGGAATTTAGTTATACAGATAGGAGGTGTCTAAAGTACGAGAGTTGAGAAAGAAGGGAAATGAAATAGCCTGGTCCTTTTCGTTTGCAGGTTAAACGAAATAAACAAAGGCACCCTGAAACCCTAAACCCTGGACCTTACACGAATTTTGAACTGCAGAGCCAAAATGTTGGTTGATGAGGATGAGAAGTTGGAATTAGGCCGAGAGTACATATTTATACAGACACACCTCAGGAAGTGCTCAACATTTCATAGTGAAAGAGCGCCAGTGCACTTGCATCATGCGACTCCTAGTCCATTGGTGTGGACTTTTCGGCTTGGGTTGTCTTCTTGGGAACTCTCGCGACGCCTTGATGTTGGGTATTGGAATAGGTATTGATGATGTCGTGTATTTAGTGAGGTGGATAGATGGTATATCTGGTATAAATGGAACGCTTTTTCCGCTCCCTCGGAAACAAAGACGTTAATGTAAATGATACAATATAAAACAAACAAGATATATCGCTAAATCAAACAAATGCGCATCTGAATCTACAAACTGAAGATTCCACTCCTCTTTTTTCCATGCGGGTAGACAATCAAAGCGGAGATAAACAGCCCAACGGAAATACCAATAGCTGTCTGGATCATACCATATCCCAACGAGGTAAGCGAGCTATTAGAGGTCGCACTATTAGCAGCACTGGAGACATTACCAGACGCAACAGCCTCAGCATACTGCAAGCCAGAAATAATCGACCCACTAGACGCAAGACCCGATGGGACGAGGGTAAAGATACCCGGAATGATAGCAGCAGCCGCATGACCATGCCACAACCGACTATACAAATTAGCCAGAAGGCCAATCGTAAATGCGCCGACAGTATTAGCGACCTGATTGGAGCCGAGCTTCTTTGTGCTAAAATAATTCGTGACATAGCCACAAACACCCATGAAGATCGTAACCGGCAACTGTTTCGGTTTCGACTGATTAATCAGCGCTGCAAAGAGACAAAACAGCGCGACAAACGGAAAGTGCTGAATATATTCGTTCCCCCAGACCTCCGGGAGATTCGAACACGTTGACTCCTTCGTCGCGTTGTGGTCCATCAGCCCGTAAATCGTTGTACCAACGGTAACGCCGTACCCGAGGAAGAGCGAGTAGATAATCGTGAAGACAAGTCGGATCGATCCCGCGTTCATCTGGTGCGACTGTAGCTCGAGACTGCTGCTTAGTACGGCGAAGCCCGGTAGAATCATTGCGATGGAGGACTGCGCCATGGCTGAGAAGCAGAAGACGCGCTCGCCGTTGTGCTGGATGCTGCCGAAAGCGCGCGCGATGAAGGAGGTGAGGACTGCGGCGGTGACTTCTAGCACGTTTGAGTAGGTGGCCGAGTTTGGCGCGACGACGTGCTGCATGAAGCCTACTAGACAGCCAAGTACGAAGATGATAGGGAGGTCGACGGGTCGGGCGCTGAAGGCGTATGGGCCGACGGCGACGCTGGCGCAGCCCGTTAGGAAGATGAGAAGCCAGCGGTTGTAGCGTGGTTTACGTTGCATGATCTCGTCTAGGTCGTGGGTTGCTTGTTCGACGCTGATGACGTCGTGGACGACGTTTTTGTAGATGTTGTGTGTCTCTGCGAGACGGGAGAGGTCCAGCCCCTGAATTACGCGGATGATCTTTACCTCCGCGGTGCGGGTTAGCTGGTCGTCGAAGGACATTATCATGCATCCGGGGATATACATGAACTGGGCTTTGATGTCCAGTACGTTGGACGTCATTATCATGTACTCTTCGAGGCGGTGGGTTGGGGCGCCGTATTTCATTAGCGCACGGCACATCTGCATGATGTATTGTTGGCGAGCGAGAATGGCGGCAATGTGGACGGTGAGCTTAATGTTTTTCTTACTCTTGCGCTTTTGCTTCTTTCGTTCTTTGGGATTCACGGGTGGGGGGCCCGTGGCTCCAGGAACCCCAACCCGGCCCAAATCCATAGATGCATTAACGAGGGAGGAAGTATAGCTGTGGGTTGGTTTTCTGGGGTGATTGCCGTTGTTGTACCATTTCAACTTGTCTTTCTTTCCACCCGGTGTCACTGTCCCGGATGGTGGGACGCTTTCTGTGTCTTGGTCTGTTTCTGATGCCGTGGAGACAACACTCATTCGACTCGCAGTGTGGAGGTTGTTGGCATATACACGGAGCAATTGTGACAGAAGTCCTCCGGGTGGCCCGCCGGGTGTTGCCGTCCCATCTGGAGTTCCTGGGGTCGTCGAACCGGAGCGCGGTTCTTCGATGCGTGGCCCAGACTGTATCCCCATTCGTTCCACCAAATGCCGAGCTTGTGAATCATAGTCTGTTTGTGGGAGGCGAGCTTCTTCGTCGATTGCCTGGCGGGCCTCGAATCCTCGGATATCGTCTGTTGCTCCATAGTGCTCTGGTAACATTGGCGAATCCAAGCCATCAGCATCTCTTTCGGGGGGTCGTCCGAGCTTCTCGGCTATCGTCGCAGCGCCAGTTCGCACCCGCTGGCTTGCTGTCCGCCATCTTTGGATATTCGATATACTAGGCTTCAGGCTAGCCTCATCTGAGTGAGGGATTTCTGTGTTGGTATTGACATTGTGGTCATTGTCTTCGGCTCGGCTCCCCTCGGCTGTCTCCGCAGAAGGATGGGGAGGGATCGGCGGAAACTTTTCCTGCGCCTCCGACATGGCATCCGGCATGGCGCACAGCAAATGTGAAGCCGGAAGTGGGCGGAAGTGCAACTGTTTGCGTTTTCTCGAGAGATATTAGAGGAATGGACCTCTTTTAGACCACACGGCAGAGTGGTTAATGCGACAATGGTCTAACAAAACGCCCCACAAACGGTCGGACATCATTCTAAGAGAGAAGAGGAAATGGGGTGGATTATAAAAGGAGAACCTGGATCCTTTAATGAAATTTATGCATTGGACACGAGGATTTGTTCCTGGCCTGACCCAACTAGGAAACAAACCGGACCCGTGAACCCGTGAACCCCCTGGCTAATTTCTATCAGACACTTCCAAGGTTCTAACACTTTCAATATTAGAATCTTGACATTAACATCTGACACCTGACAGCTGCCATAAAAAAACAAGCTTCTCCCCCTAACTCTATATTGATTTCACCACATACATTCTATTTGAACATATATTTCTCACACCAAAATGCTCCAAATGCTTTAAGCAGAATTTTTTTCTGATCTAGATTGCGCGTCTAGCATTGGCATGTGTGGACCATGGTTCCACCTGGTTGGAATTTTTATGGGATTCTAACTGGGCCTATAGAAGTTAAGAGAGACTGTTGAGACATGCCATTTTGGATTCTATAGGTCTAGATGCCATCTAAGTATATGTAGTTCGGTTGTCCATACCAGTAAATCAGTAAATGTGCTATATCCGTTAAATCCATAGGTAGTAAGGTAGTGCTTAGAAGCATTACTCCAATCTCATTTGTACTCTATATCCAATTAAAAATGGATTTCATGTTCTTTTCTTGTTTATTCTATTTTATATCTGTATTCCTAAATTAATGACCTGCCATCACACTTACCCGGCACTCCCGACCTCACATCAATATCGTCATCAGTCTCCAACTTTTCCTATATCTTTACAATACATATATATACCTACCTACATTATACACAATAAGCATAAACATCAAACCTACACTAAATCCAATGTCCAAATCCAAATCCAACATCATATCCCCTGCAACACCTATAGCACTTCAACCTCACCACCTCCTCTCCCCACCCGCAGACCTCCTAACCAACACCGCAACAACCCTTACAATAACACCCCAAGACAACAAACCCCCTCACCCGCCTACACGGTCAACCGCATCCGCACACACGAAGCCCTCGACAGCCCAGACCGCAACGTCCTCCTTTACACCGTGTTCGGGAAACCATGGCCGAACACGAGTCGCATAGTCTGCGACGCGGAGGGTGTACCGTTGCTCGTATTACGACGTGCGTGGTTGTCTAGCGTCCGGAAGTGGAGTGTTAGACTTCCGGATCAGAATCAGCGGACTGCGGATTTACTGGTTGCTTCTATCCCATGGGCTGGCGATGGGCCGGGGTCTAGAGTTGGGGTTGGGGGTGGGTTTAGGCTTGAAGTGCGGTTGGTGAATGCGCTTGCGGTTAGGTTGGGGTCTGGGGTTATAGGAAGTGGGAGCGGATTGGCAAGCGAATTGGCTGTGCCGGACGAGCCGCCGCCTTATAGTGCTGTTTCTGGGGAAGAGCATGAGGGGGATGCGGGTGTGGTACAGAGAAACGAGAAAGAGATGCATCCACCACTGCCCAACTCACATTCACATCCCGCTCAGAGTCCAATAACGTCACCACCGAGGCATACACACCATCTTCACTCTCACTCCATTCTTCCCTCCTACGACTCAGTTCGCCGAGACTCACCTAATTCCCTACGAGATCTGCTCGATGCAATTGAGCCGCCGCAAGAGCCAGCGCCGGCTTCACCATTGCCTTCATCTTCGTCGCAGAATGCCCATGAAAATTCTAGTCCCGGTCCTGGACTAGAATATAATGCAGAAGCTGATGCACCTGGCTCAAAAGTCGAGTTGAGAGTGATGCAGCTAGCTGGGTCGGGTACTGGTGTGATGATGGGTAATCAGAAGATCATGCATATCACGCGACACAATGTGATAGACTACAGTAAATCCAAAGTGAAGTCGAGGCGGAGGTGGGAGGTTGAGGTTTCCGAGGGTGTGGATCTGTTACTGGTGGGTTTCCTTACCTAAATTTGGATGTGCTAAGGGTGTTGGTCCTATTCGAGGTGACATACTAACATACCATGTAGGCTGTGAATATTGTGTTGATTATGGCCGAGACTGTGTCGTCTCAGAATAAATGGAGGTAGAATGATGGGGTAATGGGGTTACTTGTTTTAATATAATAGAACTTACGTGCTGGAAGTATGTAAGATTGAACTGCTAGTTCCAATGGGTAAGAATCTTTGATTCTAAAGGATCATATTGCCCTAGCGGCCTCTCTCTTCTCTCGCTCGCCAAATTTTTTTAACCATACATTCGTCAAGGGAACAGATCTTCAATTGTTCCGTATTAAGTATTTCGTTGACTCCGGGAAGTCTTTCTCGTTAAAAGGAAACATAATGTCAAAACAGGGTCAAAACCAGCACTTGCGCGACAGGAATGTTTACTTCCAACGGCTTACGACTGAAGCTTAGCCAGGCGCTTGGTCATGAAGTCAAAGAAGGAGAACTGGCTGGGCTGGTTGCCGTACTCGTACACGAAGCGGCTGGCCAGGTGGCTGCCGAAAATGGCACGGAGGTAGTTCTCAGGGACCTGGGAATTATTAGCGGGTGTTCAATTAACAAGGGCAAAAGGAGATAGGGAGACATACACGTTCCAAAATGGTCTCCAGACCGATCTTGTCCAACAGACGACGCGGGAGAGCGTCGCCAAGCACGGAGCGACGGAGCGCAACATTGTCCCAGAGCTCGGTCATCTGGAGTTCCTCGTCAAGCTTGGTGATGGCCAAGCTGAGACGGTCACTGAGTACACTGCGAAGCACACCAGTCTGCTCGTGTTCGCGCCAGATGGCCTCGAACTCGTAGGCGGCGTTCGACTTGATGACCTCCTGCACTTCGCGGACGTAGGCCTGGTAGAATTCGGGGACGGTTCCGTCCTCGCGGACACACATGTTCTCAACGAACTCCTCGTCGTTGAAAGACAGCGAGGCCAGGACTTCCAGAGAGGAAGACGTGACACCACCTTTGTTGGCAGAGGCGTCCTTGTACAGGATGCAGCCGGCCTTCTCGAGACGCAGCTTGGCGTCCTGGGTGATGAACAAGTTGGCACCTTCAACGATGAACGGGATGATGCACTTGTTGTCCTTGATGAGCTTGCCGACGGAGGACAAGTCAATGGACTCGGGGCGACCACCACAAGGAACGAACACGTCGAACTTCTCCTGTGAGCGCAGGTGGTATGTGTTACGGAAGATCATACCGTTGTGGACAACCTCGCCGCTGGGAAGCTTGATGTTCTTCTCGTCAACCAGGATGCGGTAGCCCTCGGGGGACAGCTTGGTCATGTCAAACTCTGAGATCATAGCGCGCTTCTTGGCCAAGCGGATGAGCTCTTCGTGGTTCAGACCGTTCGGGTCGTAGATCACACCGGATCCATCAACAATGGCTCCATACTTCTCATTGGAGAGAAGGATCTCATTGGATCCAAGGTCACCGTCAGGACCACCGGTCTGCAGCTTGAGCTGTGTGGAGGGATCGATGTTCAGCTTGCGCTGGATTCCGAGCACGTACTGGCGGACCGAGAGGGTGGTCATGCCGTAAGCGTCGTGGGGAATACCGCCCAGCTTGGGGCTCTTGCCAGTGAAGAAAGATTTCCACCAGGGAGCGCCACGGCTGCGAGCGTGCTCGGTGGCCCAGTTGACAAGCTCAGCGGTGTTCTCATCGGGACCCATGAAGAGAATTTCATCCTTGCCGTGCAGATCAACGATCGGGTCCTTGATACCGGGGCTGACCGGGGGCAGGAGCAGATCGAGGATACTGTCAATGTACTTCTCGAAGGCGACCCGCGCCTTGTCCTGGTGGTCAGCATCCAAAAGGATGACACCCTTGGCACCGCCTTCGGGAATATCCTTGTTCTTGCGCTGTTGGGTATTGGCCAAGTTGTAGTTCTCATCGAACAACGAGCGAGCGTTGATGTTGTATGCTTCGCCGTTTCGGCTCTTGACGATACGGATACCGCCACGAGCGATGTCACGGAACCGCAGGTGGAAACCGCGGAACTCGGAGCTGATGACCAGGAACATGCCGTAGAGGGGTTGGGGGTACTCGTGCTCTGGCAAGAAGTCCGGCTTCAAGCGGAAGCTGAGAGCCACCTTGGTCGGGGTGAAGAAGTTGGTCTTGAGGATGGAGGAGTTGAACACGCGGAAGGAGGTCATAACCATCTCGTCGTGCTCGTTCATGGCGGTGCCACGGATGAGCTGCTTCAGCTTGGCGCCGTCGAGGACCTCGTCAACCTGCAAACGCAGGTAACTGAGGGTGGGGAGGAAGTCATCACCAGACTCCTGGGTCTGAACGTAGTGGGTGTTGGCGAAGTCAAGGTAGAGCTTGTGGATCAGCTCGGGGTATTTGTTGATAATCTCGAAGATGTAATCAGCAGTGAAGGTCTCCGTACGCAGACGCTTCTTGATCTTTGAGAGCAACTCTGCGTGGACACTGTTGTTGCTGTCCAAAAGAGCAGACAACGAAGTGTACTCTGAACCCAGACGGTTAAGGAACTGCTGTACAAACACCCACGCGCAGTGGGCGTAGATTGTCTCCTGCAAGCTCAGACGACCAGTGGCGAAGTGGCCCTGGAAACGGTTCTGAGGAATACAGTATAAAAGGGAGACCTCCTTCATGATTTGGTGGATAGCAGCCTCAATGGGAGGGAACTTGGCGGAGATCTCGGAGTTGTCCGAGGGACGCAGGTAGAGCGAAATCACAGTGATTCCGTTGGAGAAGCTCTCCAGGTACTTCCGCGAGCTGGTCAAGCGGTAGTAGTGGTACAAATCCGACAGAGCACTGAACAAGCCCATGGCGGATCCCTGGCGGTAAGCAATCACCAGACGCTTTTCGCGGCTTCCCTCGATCTCGAACATCTCGATGACAGGACCGGAGCGACCAACAGCCGTGGTGATGATTTCTTGGTAGATCGCCTTGGTGTTAGGGGTGGCCTTCTGTAAGAAACGCTTCTCGCCAATGATGTCGATATTGGTCTCATTCGGTGAGGGGTTGGGGTTGGCGAACTGGCACTTATACACGAAGTAGCAGCGGAGCTGCTGGCCATTGTCACCCGGCAGAGGGCTAGGCGAGCGGAAGGTCTCCACGCGGTAGCTGTTGGCACCCTTGGAGTGGTTGACGTACTTCTCGTCGATGCGCTGCTCGTAGCGTGGACCATCGATAGAAGCCATACCGGGCCTGCTAGTATCAATGTAGACAGCATGGTCCTCGGCCTCTTTGTCCAGACGAATCTCCAATTGCTTATCATCGCGGGCATAGGCGGCGACTTTGGCGGCATAGAGGGATAGGATCTGGGTCACAATAGCATCCACCGTCTCGGTCTGGAAGTAGGTATCGTCGATGCCAAGCTTGTTATAGAACCAGGTGGTTTCGGAGATGACAAAGTCACTAGGGAAGAAGCCCTTCTCTTCCAAAATGTCCATGACTGCTTGGAATTAGCCAATTGTATCATATCGATATCAATCAATTCTACTGACCTTGTTCCATCTGTTTCTGCTTGCCCTCGAAGGTAGCCGCAATGTACCCCGGGTCCTCCTCGGAGAGTACACGGTGCGGGGTACCGGGAATGCCCAAGTGAGTGGGCTGCGGAGACGGTTGTCGCAAGGCGCTTCCAACGGCATGATCTAAGTGCTTGTTGTGAGGGGGGTAGCGCTGGAAACCGATGGGGGTGCCGGAGCCGGAGCTTCCATCTTGGCTCGCAAAGGGCTTAGGCTGAGGGCGACCAGGCAAGCTCACGCTATGGCCATTGGGAGTCTCCGACTGTGGGGTAGATGCGGGAGACGACATGATTGAGTATGTGAGGTAAACCTCTTAACACGTAATGAGAAGATGAAAGAAGCTATATAGGACGAGAGCATGAGCTGAGATGAATCATCGACTGCGGCACGTGTTGGGAGATAAGGAACACAAAGAATGTTCTTATCTCGACTGGCAAGTCGAGATAACAAGCAAGGAGAAGAGGCAAGAGGGGGAAGACTTACTGGCAAATACAATGATCACCGATCGTCGCCATGGACTGAAGGTGATGAGAAAATGGAATGGTTTTTTTGAATCAGAAGTAGAAAATCCGGGGAACCCTGGACTTTATATACAAAACTTGATTCTCAACTTTTTTAATAGTAACTCCCTTGAATCTCTATTAATATCTTGATTTTATTTTATTACATATGTCCCGCAACACGCTTGGCCAGTTATAACCGATGGTAGGCGGGAGGTTCAACCGTATAGAGTCTCGAAGTCCATCGAGGTCCGCAGTTCCACCCTGGACCTCCCAAAACGGTCATTCTCTGTCCACTTTTGACTAAGAGCCGGCGATGCGTTGCACGCTGATTGGAGCTTAGCTCCCCTCCCGAGCTCTCAGGCCGAAGGAAAAATCCCGCTGCGTCATGCGGGCCGATATGAGAAAAATTGCCTCAAAGCCTGGAACGTGGCTGAGGCTACAGGAACAGGGGCGAAAAAGAGGTAAGCAGGTGACCTGAAAGAGACTGTTAAAACCGAAAATAGAGAGGATACAGGGTCACCTGAGATGTCTTAGTATATCGATGTATGATGTATACAGAAAATGATGTGATCTCTATCGAACATCGTGGAATGCAATGTGTCATGGAGAACCCACTCGGCTGGGATGAAAAGACGCCGAATTGAATTTTTTTTCACTTCCTAGTCTACTAAATGCCTCATTCTCAACGTTCCAGCCCGAATAGCGTCCCCCCAGATCGCATCGTGATTACCCTCATTTAGATCCACTGGTGGCTGTCTTGGTCCGGGGGATTTTCGCCATTGGGGGTTAGTTTGACGAGTTTGACAAGTTTGACTAAGGGCAATTGCAATTTGATGCAAATCTTTGTCAAATGTCCCCGGCCCGGTGATAAAAAAGCCGGTGCCAACCTTGGAATATCTCCATATCTCCATATCTCCAACTGGAGGGGCTCGAGGGGCTCTCCAGGGCTGGTACCTGGATAGATTTTGCGGGGTACCATCTTCCATAGTGCACGCTCTTTGTGGCCATTAAAAATTGCGCATTGAGGCCTTTTTACCCCAAAAACATACATATGGTCACATTTTTCACGCATCCCAAGAAAACCTGGGCG